TACACCTACTATATATATATATATATATATATAAATAAATTTTAAGAATATTCGAATTTTCGAATATTAAGACGAGGGCTGAGAAATGGCTTCTTCCCTGTGAGTAACCCTGAAGAGGTTGAACAACACAAAAAAAAATTATTAATAATTATGAAAATTCAACACGCGACCAGTAAAAATTAACGGAAAGATATTTGTTTATATGGTACGACTGAATCCTCTATCTATGTGTCGATCTTTTTTTCAGTGTTAATTTTATTTTTACCCAAATATCTACTAGTGTTAGTAGTTGTAGCTTTTGATAAAAGGCTAGACAACAAAATAATGATAACTTCACAAAAATAATGATTTGACTTCAAACAGCAAATGATATAATAAACTACACTGAAAAGGGAATAGCAAGAATATCTGAACTTATTAAAAGAAAAAACGAAGTTGCATATAAAACCTGATAGTAATGCTAAAAATAAACAACTCAAAAAATGGGAAAAAATTTCCACAAGATATACCTTAATGTTAATTAAATGCTTGAAAAAGAGCAAGAGATAAGGCAGACCAACTTCTGCACTTTTGAGTATATTCTTGGTTTAAGTCCTTTCTTCGCGTCCTTCGTGAGTATGTGAAGGCAAAGCAATAATAATAGTGATGTCAAAAAGGAAGAAAAAGAAAAGGGAGAAAAAGGCAACATAATCTGCTATCTAGTCTGATATCCAAAAAAAAAAACAATCCTTTAGAATCATTCGTACAATCTATACTTTTTTTGTGCATACGTGTTAAACGCCGCATCGTTTTTTTTTAGTTTCTGACGTCTTACATCGATTTGCACTGTTAAAAGACGATGGCGCATCTTAAAATTTTCCGTTTCCTTCCGTCTTCTCTTTGTATGTGTCGCTTTCTTACCTTCTTACTGTTTGGAAAAAATTCTGAAAAATATCGGTACATTTACTTACTCCCCCTCGCGCTCTATTCAGTTCAAATAAATAATTGTTTCGTCCCAGGCAGAGTGTTCAAACCCAACAAGAAGGCTTCTATTCTCAAGGCTATGGTGGGAGGTTGTCGACACGGATAATCCGACGAATGTTACATAAGAAGAAGAGAATTGTTGTTTACATATGCCATCTGGAAATGACGACAAAATCAATAATAAAAAGCTAATACATCTGTAAATAAGGTTCATTCATTTTTTTCACTTATAGGTATCCAAGTCTGGTGCCTCTTAGATTCCAAGGTATACATACAAAAATTGACATATGTAGACATAATATTAAAAGAATAATAAAACATATGATTTCACATCAATAAAAGCCCACATAAATCAATATAAGGTTTCGTTCGTAAAGCTGAAAACACAAATTTAGCATCGAAAAGCGGAGGAGAACGATGAGGACGATAGAGGCTACATATCTACGATCTCAGATTCTCTTCTACTCTTTTACAGATGTGTGTTTTGTATAGCAATTAAATGATAGACATCCTTATCCTCTCATCACGTTTTGCTTTCACTTCCGCTTCAAGAAACGCTTCATCACGTATGTACTTGGTACAGAAGTCCTTGTAAATCGGTTGCATTTCCTTTTCCTGATTCAACTTTATCATAGGGTCCTCCATCTCCATAATCTTCGCGAGTGAAATCAGGCGGTCCACTCGCAGCACTACGTACATCTCATCCAGCAGATTCACCATCTCCTGAAGGGTGATGGTGGAATCCTCGATCGGTAGCGAATAACGTGCGTAGTAGTCTCCAAGCAAACGCGGTAGGATGGTCTCGAATTCCGTCGCGAACTCCGTGCCGAGAAAAGAGCTGACAGGGATGCACGCCTTCTCCATAGCCTTATCTCGGCGGCTTCGGGGGCTGTCTGTGGATGAGAGCGTCTTCCGCCTAGCCTTCTGGCTCTCCTTCGCGGTCTCCGCATTGAAGAAGTTCACCACCGCCTTAACCAAGCACGGTGGCAACGAGAAGGTGCGCGGTGGATCGCCAAGGACTTCCACGGTATCGTTGCCATTCATGCTGGTCATACTGAACCTGGAGCTCTTGCAACTGTCCAGCATGCTCAGCCGCGCCAGGCTCACAAGCCGGGAGCCGTGGCGCACACAGTCCGGAATGTAAGACGCGTCGCGCTCCTTGTAAAACTGATACACCGGTTTCTGGTTTGGCGGCTCTTCAAACGCGGTCTTACTGGCCAATAACAGACTTAACATCGAGAGAGTAATTTCCTCATCATCCTTGTCGGGCGCGTTCTCTCCTGATGCGGGATTCTCCTGAACTTCCCTCATCGCCTCTTCGGAGGCAGCAGCAGTGACCAACGCGCTGGCCTCTTCATCGGTGAGCAGATAATCACGAAGACGCAGGCGATGGAAATCCTCCGGCAGCTTTACCCGCCGATTGGGCACTCCAATACCGCACAGAAAGTCCATCGAGTCATCGTTATTTGCCGCCGGCTTCTCTCCCACATTGACTATATTGTTATTATACCGTTCCACGGCGCGAATAATTTGCTTCCAGTTAGCCACAATCAGCAAGTATGGCTCGTCGAGCGGCTCCATGACCGAAGAGTCACTGCTGCTCTGGCCAAACGTACTTCCTCGTTTGTTTTCGCCCTCCGTCTTTGTCTTTGATTCGCCAAGGTACTGCGCGATGTCCACATCCGTCTTGTAGTTCATATATATCAGCTGCAAAAAGGTGTTAATGCTGATGGAGCTGTCGCTGCGCTTTTTTGGTTTCTTGAGAGCAATTCGCTCCACGAACTGCTCTTGCAATACAGGGTAAGGGCAATTCATGACGAGGGATTTTAAGTGTACCCACCCCGTGCCGTTCTCGTCCAGATAATTGAACAGATCCTTCATCTTGAAATACCGATCTTGGTAGTAGGACGTAACCCGCTCCACGTTCCGCTGACCAAAGTCGGAAATGATGTTGCCAACGTTCTTGCCGACGTGAGTCCCGCTGACTTCGAAGCTGATCAGATTGCTGTTGTGCCTCATCACATTGATGATGTAGGGGGCGGAGTAGACGGTAACGAGTTGGTTATCGCTGATATCCACAAAGCGCACGGATGGATGGGTCTCGAGAATCTCACATAGAGCCTTAACGAACTCATCGGAAACGCCACAACCACGGATGCTGATTTTGCGCAGGATCGAGCTTACACGAATGATGGGAAGCAACGCCATACAGCCCTTTGTCCCCAGCAGGCACTTATCAAGCTCTATGGTATTGATGGTATGGAATGCTCCGACCTTTTCGGGGAATAGTTCATAGACGTAAGCCTGAGTGTGAACGCCAAGCTCCTCACAGGTCTTCTTGTAAGCATCGCGTGGTGACTTGCCATCGAAGCTCATCAAGACCTCATCAAACTTAGCCATGCTGGTCATTTTCGAATCCTCAACTGTACTTATGTGGGTGGGTGAACAAAAGGAGGGTTTCCTTTAAAAAGAGATATCTGAAAGGTAATGTGTAGGGTGTTATTTATATGTAAATCAACCTATTCTTAAATATAGGTAACGTTAGAAGCTGCTTTCGTCAGGTTAACCCCCCCGAAAAAAAACACAGTAAGAAAGTGATGCCAAAGCGAGGAAAAAATTATGAGCGGGATCAAGTCCACATGTATATATCGAACTCTCCCCAATGGTTTCGACAATGTGATCACACAGGTAGAAGGAAAAAAGGATATCTTTTTTCCTTCCCAATATCCTTAGAAATGGGTGTGTATTATCAAGATCTACTGAGACTATTGGTCTCTGTTTCTCAACATACTCATCATGGCCTGCTCCATGCGCCGTGCCGTCGCTCCTACCAACTCTGATGATGTGCTGTTCTCATTCATAGACGATTCATTATGTGGCCCCCGGTAACGCAGAGGCGGAGGACAGATAAGGAACACGCGTTGCAATGCATAATCTACTGCAGCCGTAGTCTGAACGCACACCCATCGGCGCGCCAACCGCTCAGAAAGCGTAACGCGCTCTATGTTTCCATCCTTCCGTCCAAACTGCGCTGGGGACGCAGACTGGAGAGGAGGGGGTTCAGCACCATAGGAGTCAACGACAAGGAATACGTTTTCCCACAAGTAAACCCAAACCCTCTGCGCCCGGGCGAATGATAGAAAAACGGGCGACCCGCCCATCATTACCTGTCCCAGTGCCTCAACGTAGCGTTTCAACAAAATTCGATCCCATTCAATGGCGCCACCACTGTTGTAAGGGGACTGCGGAATCACAGTTGCCTTTTCACATTCCTCATTTACACCACCACCCGTATGGAAGCTACCGTGCTTCTCGGGGATATCCACATTAATGGGTGTCGCCGCGTCCAAACCCTTGGCCGCGTGTTGAATTGCAGCCGTGGCATCACAGAGCAGAGCAGCGCCTGCCGTGTAGGCAATACAGTAGAAAACACTTTCGATTCCCGGAAGATTTAGGACCGTCATCGGGACTAGTGTGGCCCCGATCGCCTTCTTGCCGGCTCCCTCAAAATACTCCGCGAGACTGGAAAAGCGTGTTTCGGGAAGTGTACCTGATTGTAAGGTATCAAGCGTTGACCCAGGCCCAGAGGGATCTTGCGGGGTGGTGGTGCCACATGGCGCCACAAGGATGAAGCTGCTCGCCCGCACTGCATCGAACAACGCGGCAGTGTCACTTTCAACTAAAACCTGCATTGAAGTCCTCAAGGCCAACACGCGCGCCGCCAGTTCAACCGCGTACGCAATCCGCAGCACGTCCATCAGCTGCTCGACGCACCAGAACACGTCCTTGTCATCCCCGCTCGCGTCATCGGGAGTTACGGCAGTTAGCTGTTCAACAAGCCCTTTTTTTGTGAGGTAATCCGTGACCGTCGACGGGACACACGCCCACGCCGCATCTACAGCACGCGTCAGAACCCTCACGACCTCGGATGTTAACCTCTGTTGGAAGGAGGGCCCCGCTTGCTGAGGCTCCTCTGAGTCATTATCGCCGTCACCGGTGGCAGTCGTGTGGTATCGGTCCGGGAAACGCGGCCCACCAGGGCCGTGCTCAGCCCCTCGTGTAAGTGGTGAGAAAAGAAAACCCAGCGTCGGGTCCTCCTCCGCGGCCTCGTGGCCTAGGTATTCTGGGCTAACCTGGCCCACCTCTGTCGGCGCCGCCGGACGTCGCGGCGGCTTCTTCTTCTCCTTAAGGTCGGTAAGAGGGATGCCGGGGCCAACCCACGGCGCATCGCAGCAGTACTGCGTAAGAGAGACAAATAAGGGCAAGCTTAAGGTGCAGGGGGATCGATCCAAGGAAGGCGAATCGGCCCGGATTCCGCAACCCTCCAAGGTCCGTCCGTTATTGTCCACTGGGTCGACTTCACCGTTCATCACACACTCGTCCTCTTCCTCGTTGAGGCTGCGTGTGTCGAGAAGGTCCTCCATCGGTGAATTTGCAGCCGCACTCGGCTTCCCATGCGGTGAGGCAACCGGCGTATGCCGCATACACTGCAATAGCAACCGAAGACTCTCCTGCACCACTGCCGCGTTCGGGATCGAGGTGCCGTTTGGATCCGCTTCTTCCCTGGCAAACGGTGCGGCCACATGGGTGGTGTGGTCCTCCAACGCATTCGCCAACTTTTCATGAAGCCGTCGCTTCAAAACAGCCTCCATAATAAAATCCTCCAGGGCTGCCGTTGGGGGGCACAATGCGACGGTATAATACGCCGGCTCCCGCTCCATCGCCGCCTCCACAGCACCCCACACGAACTCCAGGTTAGAGTAGCAGGAACGTGCCGCCCCGTCGCTGGGGTCGTGCTGATTCCCTCCGGCTCGCACGCTGGGTGTAGTGTGTAAGGACTTGTTCGACATGAGCTGCTGCGCGTAGCGTTGCAGAGCCTGCACGAGTTGAGAACGCTGCTGTTGAATTTGTCGTGCACGCGTCAAGCAAATGGACTGGAAACAGGGCAACAACTGTGTCGCGCGAGCTGCGACCATGGACTGTAGGATGCCGTGCTTCACACCATCCGCACGACGGTCTAGACGCGCACACCGTTGCGTGATCTCATCAGCAAAATGCTCGGTTTTCTTCAAAAAATAGTCCCGAAGCATCGCCTCTGAAACGATCCCATCTGTGAAATTGGTAGTGCACTGCAAAAAGTCACTGTTGCTGTTCATTAATACTGGGATTAGTGCTAATATTACTTTTGATGTCTATGACGGTTTCCTTTTCTCCCTTCTGTCCCTCAGAGTTGCAAAGTGACTCCTTTGGAGGACAAAAAACGCAATGTGTCTATGTATTCATGCACATATACTCGATGAAGAAGAGAATCATATTGGGTGTAATTGAAAGAACAAGAAAGATAATTTGCCGAATAACCTTTTCCTTTCATTACTACTTTTATAAAAAGGCTAGGAACACCATTTGCGGTAGAGAAAAGTGTGAAGACACGGCATAGAGAGTGTGACCCCAAGCCATACCCGTTCGATATCTCCTCCTCCTCCCTTCATGTACTTACTTGTACCCTGAGATTAACCTCCTGCTCACCTTTCCGAGAGTAGCAGCGTTGGCTGCGGAGAGGTTAGCCATATCGGACAACCCCCGAATGATTTCTTCACGGTATGTCTCCAGTACCATACCCCCCATGATGATCTCCATCAGTGCGTGCTGAACTTTCTCAGAGTGGAAAATGAAGTCCAGTTCACAAACATTCTCGAAAGTGCGGTCTAGGACCTCAACGAAGACCTGGATGAGATCCAGGATCGCCAACTGTGACTCCGACGAGTCTGACACGAAGACGAATACAAGCGTCGCATAGCGACGGTAAATAATTTGTGTGTCTGGAGTTGGCCACTCGGTGAACGAATCTATGAAACTGCACAACTCATCACTGCGATTCGCAACTATACGGTAAATGCTTCGCACAAGTGCCTGCTGCTGCACAAACCCAATCTGCTTCTCGTAGAAGTTGATCAGCCTAATTTTGCCCATACTATTAATGATAATAACTGCTTTGATCATTGTGTTATGATGTCTGTTCAATGAAGCCAAATATGGTATAACCCCCTTTTCTTTTTCTAAATAGGATAACTCACTAGAAAAATTTTGTGGGAAACCAAGACTCGAAATTTACGTCTTTCCCTGGCCACTTATTCCCTCAATGGCTGAAAAAAAAAATACCTTTTGGGACGATTCCACCTTTGTTAATGAGGACAGAAAGAATACCCCCTTTGGAGCAACATACACTCACATAAATAAAAGAAAAATGAAGCAAAGGAATATATTTTTAAATGCCCTAAAACGAAGAACTCATAATAACACGAAGGTTAAGTTCAATTAAAACAGAAGTACGATGCATGAATGATAGAGTATATAATTGAGCACATATTCAGAATAAAATACTGATGAGCAAAGTTGTGTGTCTTATCATTGTGGTTCGTATGTGTGTGTATGTTTCTGTTCTGCCGCTCGATTCAAATACAGGTGCACAACTTTTAGCCTCCTTCTCCGTCCCTTTATCAGCCTCTCCAACATCTTCCCTTTTCCTTCGTTTTCATTCCACAAGCGGGTCAATGCTCCAAGGAATAAGGAGACAAAATCATGAAAGGGAAAAGTTATACGAAACGTATGAATTTGGGATATTTCGTTAGATAAAAGCATTCACGTCAGATATAGAAAGGCAAAGGCAAGAGCAGGAGAATGAGAAAGACATCGAAAAGTAAAATAAAATATGTAGTATCCTGGTTCCATTCTGCCTCCAAACCCCTTTTGTTTGACGTATTCTCTGCAGCAGCGTAAGGACAACGTGCCCTGCTCAGTCACCCTCGTCTTCGACTGTGAAGACCTCAGACACCTTGTGGCTGGACGAAAACGACGGGGCTCCTACTTCAGCGATGAATGGAAGCGACTCCTGAACCTCAGTAGCACCGTCGCATTCGACAACCGCCCTCGGGGTCTCTCCCTTATTGGTGATTGCGTTCAAAGAGCCATGGTGGTCCGAGCTCCGAAGGAGACGTTCCGAGGAGGACATAGCCTCGGCCGCGTCACTAGGTCTGCCCCTGCTGTCGTGAAGTGGGGCTGAGTTGGTGGTACTCAACCTGCCCGCTTTAGAGGGTGAACGTGTGCTAAGGCTGTTGAGGGGGGTGCGAAGCAGGGAATCATCGCACATCTTCATGAGGTATTCGACGCCACTTGTGTCCTCGTCAACGGGGCAGGAAATCCCCGCCGCGGCAACTTCCGGCTTCTGAGGCAATGGTGGCATTGACTCTGATGGTTGCCGCTTGCCAGCGATGGGGTTTAGCGGAACGAAACTGTAGATGGGATTTTCCGATGTGGGATTTGGCGTACTGCCGATGATCTCATCTTGAGGATACGAAGCACGGCCTATGGAGGGGCTCGTGGACGTAATGGTCCTTGGTCTCTTTCCTGGTTGTGCAAAGGGATTGAAGAAAAGCGGAACCGACTGCTGTGTGACTTTTTGAAACGGCAAAGTGGGAGGTGAATCGGATGCTCGCAGGGTAGCAGATGTATCCATGGTGGCACTCGCAGCTGCGCTCGCGGAAGCCGCGTCGTGCGCGTACGGATCGTAAGTATGCTGCGGGGTACCCATCTCCGCAGTAACAACAGCATCTTTGGCCTCTGTGGCTAGCCGTGGCGGCGTTGCTATCTTCGCATCGACCGGGTTCGAAGGTGGGTGGGCGGACAGTCTAGAAGCAAAGGAAAAGGTTGTGCGGTGTGGTGCCACCACCACTGGGATAGTGGGGCCGGCTGGCTTAGCGGGCGAAAAGAGCGGAGTATTTGCCTGTTGAGCTTGGACTGGAGTCCCCAAGTCGACCCTTATGGGAGATGACGCATTAAGGAGCTTCTCTGGCGTGTTTGGATCTAGAAAACGAGGCGGCTGGAGGGTGCTTACGGAAGCAGCCCCAGCCCTACTCGGCACGTCGACACCCTTCCCTGGTGAAACGCTCTGTGCTCTGACAGCATCGTCACTTATTATGAGACCTGCGTTGGCTGCATTACCACGATTGAGACGGTGACGTGCAGCCACATTTGTGCTTAACTGTTTGAGCGATTCCTCCTCCGCCACCGTGAGCTCCTCGACGTCGCCGATGTGCTCAAAACGAAATTGTCGATAGAGCCTCAGAATGTCGGCACCGAATTTTTTGACTTTGTTCTTTCCCATCCCTTCCAGGTCAGTGAACTGCTCAACACTACCCCATCCTGGCTCACCAAGGGTTCCTACCAATGTCTGGATGGTCTTCTTCGGCATGACATTGTACTGCCGCCCACCCTCAGAGCTCTCAGCGAGCCGATGCACAAGCGACTCAAGTTGTGGCAAGAGAACGGATTGTAGGCGTTTGAGGCGGCCAGCCGGCACGGATGAGACCGGTTGCGGGCCGCCGTCATGCTTCCCAGACACGTCGCCTTTTCTTTCGCGCTTGTGTGTGCGTTGAACAGGGGCCTGTTTAACCGGAGTGTCATAGGGTGTTGAGATGATGGACTCGACTTCAGTCGCAATACCAGTGCCCCCAAGTTGCTTCGTACCACCACGGGGCCGCTTTTCCCCTGGAAAGTCAGCGCGTGTGGTCTGCGCAGTCGCGTCCGACGACAGCATCTGATAGTCGGAAGATGATGAAACGTCATCAATAAACGAATCATCCTCATAGCTACTGCAGCCGCCGGTAGAAACGGCATCCTCTTCCTCATCGTGGGTAGGTGAGAGCACGCTCCCGCTGTCGCTGCACTCATCCAGCACGTAGCGGTTTCCCTTCTTCTTTTTAGGGTTGAACTGACGAAGTGGGCGGGAGTCGTGAGGCCGCCGATCGTGTGTGGAGGACAGAGTTGCGGGTGCCTCACAGTCCTTGCCGCCGCCGCCACCCCGCCGACGAGAATGCGAAGTGGTCGAGTGATCCCCCCCTTCAACCGCAGAAGCAGAGCCGCGAAGAGGAGATACAAGTTTTTTACTCAGTTTTTGACCTCTCTTCTTCCTTGGATTGTCTTCTTTAGAGTCCAGCGGAAGTAAGTTGGGGTTGGGTTGATCGGGGTAGAGGTGGGACAGCGGAATGTCATCAATATCGCCAGCCCCCTGGTCTAGCTCTGAGCCCCCTGCCTTGACAACTCTGGTGCGACTGATCTTTGTCCGTTTTTCTGTACCTGTATTAGTCGAGTCTATTGGGCCATCGCTAACGACATGAGGCCCCCCAGACGTCGTTGTCCTGGTGGACAATTTTGGAGCATCCCCGCGAACGCGAAGAACGACCTGTCGCTTTCCATCCTTGATCTCATGATACGTCTTTATCCCAGTGCAGTCCCCGGTTTCGACATACGCACACACGGCGTAATCGTTGACGTTGTCGAGCCGCTCTTTGAAGACGCCAAGAATGAGACCTTCCAACAAAACGCGCTCAACGAGCGTCTTAGGTAGCTTAGCGCCGCTCTTGTACTCAGCAGGTGCACCCTTCTGTCGCAGCCGGGCTTCTACTGGTTTGCCCATATCCGAGTGAGCTCCACGATAAACCGCGACCAGCTGCTTGCCCGTCATACTCCCCAAATGTACGAGAATTTGAAAGAAGTCAATAAGGATGTAGTTAATGCATAACTCCTTTGCTTCCCACCTTTCGTTAAGCTTGCTTGTACAATTGTCGCATAGTTCCACCCGGGACTCACCAGGGTTCAGTGACCGATTGTTGTTGGCCACGCGCTGCGAGAGGCAGTAGTGCACGTCCACGACCTCGCCGAAATGGCCCAACTGCTGCCTTCGCCGGCAATCCACATCATTGAGAGTGTAGTTCAGCATACGATAGAGTGATAGCAACGAGGCCTTCCAGTCCTTGGAGCCGTGTATAAGACGCTCGTGTCGTATACGGTCAGTCGAAGAGGCAAGGAGGACACACTCCGATGGGAGACCATCGCGCCCTGCACGACCGCTTTCCTGGTAATACCCTTCAATCGACTTCGGCATAGCAGCGTGGATGACGAAACGCACGTCCGGCTTATTGATACCCATGCCAAACGCTATGGTCGCGCAAATCACCTGCAGCTCATCTCGCGTCCAACGCTCCTGTTTCTCATTCTTTCCTGAGGCTTCTGAGTGGTAGAAGGAAGCGCGAATACCGGAGGCATTGAGCGCGGAGGCCATTTCCTCGCAATCCTTCCGCGAGAGACAGTAAACGATCCCGCAGCTCTTGGGGCCGAAGCGGTGGAGAATGAGATCCTTAACTACAGGTGACACCTGCTTCCCTACGACACGTTGCACAGAGTACTTAAGATTCGCACGATTAAATGAACCCTTGAAGATAACAGCGCTACGCAACGAAAGGGTTTTTATGACATCCTGCTGCACCATACCCGTGGCCGTGGCTGTAAGGGCTGTGATGGGAGTATTTGGAAAATGTTGCTTCAATAGCGCCAGCTTGCGGTAATCCGGGCGGAAGTCGTGGCCCCACTGAGACACACAATGAGCCTCGTCGACAACAAATCGATTGAGTAAGCGATGATCAGCGAGCCTCCGCAACGTCTGAACGAAGTGATCACTTCGGCCAAAGTACTCAGGCGTAACGTAGACCAGTGTGTGGATAATGCGACCGGAGGCCCACTCGGCAAAGAGTGCCCGCCGAGGCGCGTCGGCGGTTTGCCCCGTTAAAGCCATAGCGGGGATATCGTTTGCAATGAGGGCATACACCTGATCTTGGATGAGCGAAATGAGTGGTGAGACGACAATGGTAACCTGAGCTGGGTTAGGTAGTAGTGCAGGCAGTTGGTAGCACAGCGACTTACCACCGCCAGTAGGAAGCAGCACAAAGACGTCTCGATCATCCATACAAGCGTTCATAATTTCAAGCTGATGAAAACGATAGTCGTGCAGACCGAAAACATCGCGCATCGTGTGACGCAGCTCTGAGGACCAGGGAAAACCCTCGCCACCGTACTCATGTGTCGGGTTGACTGGAAGCACCACGTCCGCCGTGGAGCAAATGGCATCACGACTAAGATGCCCAACATCACTCCGCTCGTACTGCTCCCAAGAAAACCCGTTAGAGGGCGGGTAGGAAACTGCCTGGCGCTGCGAGATATCAAGTGTATTCGTGCCGTCCCTAGTATGTACATCGCCATTGATATCAATTCGGCCATTGGGCATTATATCCAGTGAAGGATTCAAAGAGATGCCGGATCGGCCGCCTAGGCCAAAGGATGGCCCACCATCTGGGTGGTTCATCACACCGCCACTAAAGTTGCGGTCATCGCCCATGGGGCCATTGCTGGTCGACCACGGAGCTGCTGAGGCCTGGACCAACCCCCTGCCTGCGTTAACGCCTCCACCATTGGCATAGCTAAAGTTTGATGGGTCTGAGCCATTAGCAGGATTGGTAGGGTAGTCATTGTTAAATCGTGGGGAGGTCCCATCCTGGCACCAGTTCGTGCCGGCAGTGGCGGTACTATGGGTAGGCGTAGCTGTCTGAGGGGGCAGGAAGTGCCGATGACTGAGGTGATCATGGGGCATCTGCAAGCTGGGCATGCCGCCACTGCCACTGGGACGAGGGTTTGTAGAATCAGACGAAGGGAGATCCATGGAAACCAAGGAGATGTTTCGCGGACTACCCACAAGGGAAATTGACGAAGCTGAGGGCGACAGTGCTGGTCTTTGTAGGCGCTCTGAAAGCGAGACCCGCAGACGTGTGAATCGCTCCTGAAGCTGATAAATGCGGGTATCTAGCTGATTGAGCTGGGTCGAGTGATCGTGCTCCTCATCCTCTGCCAGCAAAAGTTCATCTCGCTGCTGCTGAACATGCCGCAGCTCCTGCGACACGGCCTTGATGCTCGCTTTCAACTGATCGAGAGAAGTCTGCAGCGGCTCCCGGGAGGGTGGCGGCGGACGTGTAGGCAGATTCGGAGGTGAATAAGGAGGCACGGTAACCCCAACCGCAGCGGTTGCGGAGGGCCCGCCATGAGTCACGACAACGGACACGTCGTCAACGTTTGACTCATTATGAGCGCTACTAGTGAGATTTATCAGGGTACGACGTGGATGAGATGTCAGCGACTGAGAGAGGGGGGGTGGAACAGGCGCCGCCTGCTGACCTGAGCGCTGTTCTTGAAAGAATCCTCTATCATGGGGAAAGGAAGAAGTGCATGGAAATAGGCGAGGAGTTGGGGTGGGCGGCACTCCTGGGGCCAGCACAGCCGCCTCTCTCTGTATGCTATCAATTTGGCGAAAACTCTCTGCGGGCGGTACGGGGTCCTTTGACAACGCCACCGTGATGGCTTCAGGTAGCGCATCCAACCAGCGTTGAAAGTCACACTTGAAGGGCACACCTTCCTGGGGAGCAGGCGTCGTGAACACCGAGTTGCCAGCAACGGATGTGGTAGGGATAGAATGCGAAAATGGTGGCTGCGGCAGGTCTGTGAGTGGCATTAGAGCTGGGACACCATCTCTAAGCATTAAATTATGTATGTATGGGAACAAGAGGTAAACTAGAGCACCAATTGGAAAACCAAACCCAAAGGCAAAGGTGTTTTTTCTGGCTCGGTTCCTCCTGAGTGGATTCTATACTAAGTCGAAACGTGAGGTTGAGTCTTTAATTATTGGATTATTACTCGTTAGGTTAAAAAAATCTATATGTAGTGAAGATAATAACACTACGGCCGTACTGTGTTGAGTACATTATGATTTAATAATAATAAAAGAAGCAAATAAACCGATGATGGAAAAGGAGGAATTAAGAGCTCCAAAGTATATAAGAGATGCGACAAAAGAATAGAGTGGGAAACATTGTCGCCTAGGGGACTTCGTCAAACGCGTCTTAGCAAATTAACACAATGCGAACGCGGGGAAAGATTGAAATATAACCCCAACAAACAATTAATAATAATAATAAAATAAAGCTCTAATGCATCTAATACAATACAAAACAAAACGTAAGAAAATAAAAAATGGACCACGCAAAAACAGGGTACCATGCAAAGGTACAACATGAGCAACAGCGCCAGACACAGACGATTTCAAAAAGGATGAATTAAACTCTCGAATTCTAATTAGGAAATTGGACCCTCATCCCTTTTTCAGAACGAATAAGCACCTTTTTGGATCGAGAAATACATGATACTTCAATCCCAAGAAGGGAAACCTTAGAAATATTCTTTAGCCATCAGAAATTCACTAAGAAGTACGAACACCTTTCTCTGAGGCACGGATAACTTCACAATATCATCGTCCATGTCGCAGGCCAAGGCACCACGCTCCTGAAGCACCCTCCAGAGACCGTAGAAGCTGCCGTATTTATTGAACAACGTTTGTGCTAGTGCAAAGGAGCAGCCACGGATGCACATAAGCATGCGTGGAAAGGCAGTTTCAGCACGCAATGACTTTTGTAGCTTCTGAAGACGCCGCAAACACGCCATAGTTGGTAGTAACGAAGGAAAGGATGAGTGAGATGGTTCTGTATCATCGATAGCACGCTTTGAATAAGGTAATCGCGGTATGGTGCAGAAATTACTTGGAACCAATGGGGACCCCATAGCCAGGGTACTGGCGACCTGTTGAGCCATGGCTGCGCCTAACTGTTTTAGGAAGGTTACACTTTCCTGGACAGTCCGGGTGCGCACGACACAAAAGCCTATCTGGTGAGAGAGCGACATGCAGGCCGAATGCACACGCCGCTGTCCTTCAGGAACGAGGCTAGAAAAGGCAGCCTCAATCCCGCAAGGGCCATCGCGCTTGTCTATTAGACCGCACTCAATTCCTTCTTCACTAACCCCCTCATTATCGGATTGTCGATTTGCACGTTGAAGGGGAGGTTGGGTATGGCTAAGATGAGAATTGCCCGCATTAACGGTGCGAGACGCACCATTACTGCGGTGCCCTCTGCCAGTGGATATCTCTGAGCCTTCAATCAACCAGACAACAAGTTGGAAGCGCGACTGAATCAGCAAGTGGCGCTGCTCAAGGTAGCGAGTGCTTTTAATACTAGCATCAAGATCAGCCGCTGTCTTGCGTTCGACTACAAATGAACACAGGTGCGGATACAGCGGCAGGGACTGAAGCGACATCGGCTGTGTTGAGTCCTGTTGCACAGCTGATGCTGTATTGTCATTGGCATTAGTAGTATTGCTGCTCTGAAGAAAGCCACTGCATTGGTACTGAGAAACGTTTCCTTCAGCTCTACACGCACCTACGTCGACGTTCAGCATAAAGTCCCCACAGGGTAGCATACATGATGCGCACGATACGTGCTGTCGTTCAAGCAGCGCAAGCATACTTTCATGTTTGCCTCGGACTCGCTCACGGGTGTCCACCAGCCACTGCCACTTTGGCGCTTCCGTCACCACCGGCTTTCCCGCAGTGGACCCCCCCGGAGACATCGCTTCACCAGGCAGGATACCGAGTTTCTTAGTCTTGTCACGTGCAAGTGGCCGGAGACGGGCCGATCGCTCTGAGTCATTAAGCAACTCCTTAATGAAAAGATCGGGCGTCGGGACAACGTGTCGGCACGGTGGTAAACCCCTCTCTGGGATCGCGGCGTCGCGCGATGAGACAGAAAGCTTGGGCCCCCACGTGTTCTCTAAATCCCCCAAGCCCAGAGAAGTCCCGCCAGCTTCGTCATTAGACGGCAGCGGCTCGCTGATACCAGAGCGATATCGGAAAACGGTTCGTTTGGGCGGAGGAGACGACAGCGACAGCGATAAGCCCTCCCTTCCGGCTGAAATCAATCCATTCGAAATCTCCCTTAGCTGCGGGAGATCTGATGAAGCGTCCGAAGGGTGAGAAAATGAAGGGAAACGTGGAGGCGGCGACGGCGATGGCGACCGCTTCTCAGGCGGGCCTGTAGAGTAGCCACCGCTAATGGGCGAAGCTACTGAGCTTGGAAGGGTCATGTTTGTGGGCTGGCGCGGGGGCTGCACGCAGAGATCCCGCTCTTGTCGCTCCTGGAACAACATTAACCGATGATAGAGGTCACTTTTAGTTCCAGAAGTAAGCAGACCGTTGGCTGCGCACCGGCTCCGTAGCCCATTTAGAGTTTCTGAATTGAAAGAAAGGGGTAACGTTTGTGGTATACCGCTCGCGGTCACGGGTTTCTGGCAAACAGCGGTAGTAGCGGCCGAGCTCGAGTGCAATTGCGACGGAAGGGGTGAGGTATCTGCGACAGAGGAGATTGATACGTCCCCAAGAAGTAACTCACTCAATACATCGTCGTTTTCCTTAATACGAGTAGCCAATGGCCCTACGGTATGGGGCCTGGGGTCCTGCCTCTGGTCTCCGGCGATAGGTGTCCGCATGTTGGACTTAGCAGATCCCCCTCGTGTGCGGAGATCAAGGCCGCCAGGTTGTAGCTCGGTCTGAAATAGCTTTGGCGAGGAAGGCTGTCTCAACCGCTTTCTTTGCACCTGCACAGAGCCCGTATTTGGTCCCGCTCGCGATGAGGTAGATATGGTCGGAAATTCCCCTTCGCAGGAAAATCCATGGCAACGCCTTTCCACTACAGCCCTCATATTACCGCCATCGACCTTCTCCCGCAATCGGTTATGAAAGGCAGCAGTGCTGGCAAAACCAAAAGGCGAGGCAGCCAGTGGTGCGACGACTGTGCTCACATCATTTGCAGCTATAGTTTCGTCTTTGGTTTCGTCTCCCACACTGAGTGACGCATCAAGATGCTTCGACGTTGTCTTCGAAGCGGCTGAGGACAGACTCAGGGCTTCTTCACCGCCGTCCAACAAGAGCGCTGCACTCGGAAAATGAAATATTGGTAAAGGAAATAACCCCACGGCGTTGTGCAAACGCTGCTGGCTTGCTTCTGGTAAACACCCCTTGGGCATGCCTGCAAGCCATCGTTCGAAAAGAATGTTATTCCACGTGTAGAGAGAATCTTGGGGTTGTGGTGGTGAGGATGAATCTAGCGTCATTTCTATGTGACCTGCGTATTTTCAACTTTCCCTCAAAAGGGAAAAAATTCCATACGTGTTTGACACTAGATAGATTAATTGCCTTGTCTTGTCAGTAGATAATATTTTAAGAAAACGAATCAATTAAGAAATAAATGTAAAAAGACATAAAATGGGTTGACAAAGCGACACAACTTACCTAGAGGTCGAAAAAGGACTCTCACCGCTACACCAGATTAGGTTTAAAGAGGAAAAACAAAAAAGTAGAAGAAAAGGGATGGCAACTCTCCTTGTCAATCTAGAAATCCGAAAGAAGTTTGGAACCCAAGAAAACAACGACTTGGAAATGAAAACGAAGAGAGGGTCCTCCTTCCTTTGAAATGTATATAGAGATGCAAATAGTAGTTTGCAGTGCACTGTAGACATAATATCTGTAGGTCCCTCCTCGTTTCCACTGACCCACCCAAATCAACCTTGAAATTTTTTCTCTTATCCTACAATTTTATCTAGAATTAATAACTTAATGTCAACCTTTTCCCTGCTTCAAGCCTTAACTAGTCATCCATTCTTGAATCGGCACAAAAGGAATGCAAGACGCTAAAGGTCACGGTGTGTGTTTGGAACAAAAAGGGATCAATGATGTATATTATCATTTTCCATCAAACACTTAGGTCTCACTTATCTCCGCTCTTAGGCGGAAAGTTGAACGAAGGAAAATAAAGGGAGAGATATAGAACTACTCTTATCCCATTCAGATACGGTTCGCAATGCATACAAGCGCCTCTATCTGAGCACACACAATACGATTTGCGCTGCTTCCTTTTTATAATTCACAAAAAACGACTTTGAAGCACAAAAAAATTAAAATGAATCAAATTTTACCATTATATTTTAACTTTATTTTACTTATTTTATCACTCCTTTCCACTTATCGATGATGAAGGGATAAAAATTATACTAAAAATTTTATGCTCACCCTTTTTTGCATCCTCTATACACGCATGCCCTTGAGGCCATCCTTCCAGTAGTAGAACTTGGGAGTCTCACCATCCCAACGGCAGAGCACGATCATGCCCGAATCAGGGTCTTCGTCGTTACCCTCCGGGATGAAGAATTGGTACTCGTCAATCTCCTTCAGCACCTTCTTGACAAAGTTGGCAGCATTAGTCTGGAAAGCCTTCTTAGCGTCTTCACTTTCGATATGTTCCAGAAGCTTCTTCATGTAGGCGCGGATGTGAGCCATGTACGATGCCTTATCGTAGCCCGTCTCAGTATACCGGTTGTTGTGTATCACATCCACCACGCGTTGCTTGCCATCGGCAGTCTCGCCGGTGGCACCTTCAGCCGCGTCTTCGTCTACATTCGCTGAGATACCATAGTCCTCGCCACCTATCTCAACATATCGGCCCTCAACAACGTACACGACATCATCTTCAACCTTCAAGGGAACGTCGTTGTCACAAACGACCTCGGCGTTGGTGAGAATATCGCAGTAAATCTTCATTTGCAGAAAAAAGTAGTAAACGGCTTGTTGTAAGTTGCTGTGTTGATAAAGGCTTTAGTCGCAAAGGGCTAACGTTGTGTATAACTATAACTGTGGTAAAGGAAATTCTCTGAAAAATGCAAAGGGAAAGAGTGTAAAAAAAAATAGATATCAGGGAACATTCAATACAGCCAATAAAAATATTACGAAGTTAGTAAAAAAGCTCTCTGATTTATTTATCGATTCATTTTTCGTAGGGGTGGACTCTTCTTCTTTAGATACCACTATTTTGGTTTCCACTTCACTTGTGGTTTAGATTGATTCCCCTTTTTAAAGGTTTACTCGGCTTATGTTTAACGAATATAAAGTACTACCCAATGAACAAGTCTCATAGAAGCTCATTTATGCTGCTGCTCTCCTATCCCCCTTAAAGTATTGATATTCTTATCATAGCCATGCTTGCTGACTAGGGTATAGTCTAGAATTTGCGTCGAAATCCCAAAAAGGTGTTTAGATGAAACTATTGTGCCTAATTCGGAATACAAGAAGAAAACGAAAAGCGATGTATCACCAAGGTATTGTGTTTGTAGTTGCTGGAAACCCTTCTCCATTCTCCAGCCGACAGGCATTTTGAAGGTTGCCTCCCGTTGATCTTCTATGAGCTCTTAAACACAGGATAGATATCATCTGTCATAGTGTACACCAACGGCTCGCCAGCTGCACCGCACGCCCCAAGAATGTGCGGCGAATTTGGATGAAACGCGATGGAGAAGATATCCCCCGTGCGGTAGTTCCGCGAAACACACAAAGTCGGCTCTAACCCGATCTGACGACAATCCCAAAGGCTTATCTTCCCATCCTTTCCACCCGTCGCACAAAGTCCACGCACGTGACGCGAACAGGCGAACACCACCTCACCCTTGTGAGGCTTCAGATGCCACAGCGGTTGGGTGGCATTGCGAGTGTCGAAAGCGGCCCACTCACCTTTGCTCGTAGAGGCCATGACGATTCCCGCCTCCGGAGCCTCCCCCCCATGGGGGAAGAATTCCACATGCTCTACAACGCTGGGCAACGTGAAGCGCAGAGCAGGCTGCTGTGGGTAGCGGCAATCGCGCAGCACCATTGACGAGTCAAACCCACCTGAAAGCATCTGGTTCGCCTCTGTTGGATGCCAATCCAGGGACTGCACCTTTTCATTCTCTGCGTAGGTTCCCAGACAAGTCGCCGTGTTCAAATCCCATAGCTTGATGGTGTGATCCGCGCTTCCCGAGGAGAGAATATTTTGCGCGATGGTGTTCCACTTGACGTCTAGCACTGCTTCCGTGTGTGACTCTTCTTTTAAGTGTTTTCTAATATTTTTGCTGTTGTAGTTTTTAGCTACCTCCTTGCATCCACCGAGGAAAATGGCTGGCTCCACTGAGTCCATCACATCCAACGCCCATACCTCAATGAAGGGCAGCATCGTCCCGACGGCTAACATGGACATGGAGCCGTCAGTGAGCCACGAGCTGCATAGCGGCAGCGCCGCAATTTCCATGTCATGATGAAGAAAGATGTTGTCCTCAGGCTCATCATACGTGTAGAGCTCCACACGTGGGTTTTCAGTGTCCGCGCAACCGACAGTAAAAACTAGATCAGTGTCCTTGAATCTTGTATCCTCGATTTCGTCTTCATCTTCCGACGCAATGTCTTCCAAAATCGCATCAGTACCTCCACCAGCGATATCCCGCAGCATTTCGTTCACCACAGTGTTATCCCCCTCGTCGCTATCATCGTCATCCTCCTCATTGCCTGAATCGAGCCCACTGCATTGCTGCTTGCCATGACGGCGAGAGCCACGATCAGCAGCCCGTGGAGACCTCTGTTTTTTTAACTCCTTCTGACCTCGACGATTCGCTTGCTTGCTCTCTTCAACATATTCTGGATTTTGATGCTGAAGCTTCGCACGCGCTTGACTAATCGTGTCCGTGGAGAGAATTGAAGTGGGCTTCATAGCGCCCTTAGGGACCCAGGAAAACGCGACCAACATCGTAAAAGTCAAAGAAAATGGAATGAGGGAAATGCACACCTTGGGACTTTGAAATAGTCTAAGGAAAAAAAAGAAAAAGGTTGTCATTAACGATGTTCTATATCAATACTCGAGATCAATACCAGTAAGCATTTATGAGTCCATGGAAGTATTTTCATGTTAATAGATCATCTCAATTCTCAACAACCCTCAACAGGAAAGCCAAAAGACCACAAACCTTTCTCACAGGCCTCGATAAAATATTCCCTTTCAACCAGGTAACCGTTGTGAAGGTTAGAAATTAAAGTAGAAAAAAAACAAGAATGATAGGCACTATAACTGCATTCCTTCGCGTTTAGCGACAGCAGAATACAACTCGAGGAAAAAATTGCAGTCCATTAGATAGTTTGTTTTCCCTTAAATACTTTATTTGTCTTCAATCATTCCTCCATGGGGTCAGATGAATAACCACATAGTATAGCGTGATGTGAAATTCGAATTTGCTTTATTCGCAATAACTTTCCTTTTGTTGATGTTAGTAGAATAAAAAGAACACAAGAAGCGTGCGTCACATAGCCCCTTTTCAAGAAAAATATTGTATAAATCTCTTCATCAACACATTATGTCACGTTGACTGATCCTAGTTTAAATACAAACATGAACAAAAACAACACCACTCCACCCTATTACTGACCAGTTTGACCTTGAAAAAACGAGGTATTAGTCGACGAGAAAGGAAAATTTTTGCTGAGACTCCTCAAAGGTGTCATACAACTTAATTTAATCCACAAAAGGTTCGTAACTTGGAAAATAAACGCTAAAGAACAAAAAAGCAAGAACAGAAAAGGAAGAATAGCACCTCTGGAAAATTAAATAAAAATACTTGTGTTTCGTTTGAGGGTCCCCTCAGGCATTGGCTTCATGAGCGCATTTGCTAATTTTGGAAGATTATTTTAAAAAACGCGTTTGGAAAGAAAGACAACGATGCGTGAGTCATCTGTCCTGTTATCATAACAGCTGTAAAAATGAAACTACAACTTCGACATGGCGCGTTTCTTCACATGCTTCCACCAGAGTCGTACTTTGCCTTTTTTCTGAGCATCATCTGTAGAAGTCGAAGGAGATGAACCTGAAAGTGGTAGTTCAGACGTGACCCTCTGGCGACCGGAATCCCCATCACACACGGAGGGATCTTTGGATGTAAGAGGTTGATTTGGCGTTGTCGTGGCGACTGTGCTGTTCTGCTCCCTCTTGCAGTCGGAGGCAGATGAAGAAGGCAAACCCCCAGGTAGTGGATCCTGGCTTGACGGACGTGCGACAGGACTTTGTTCACGATCAGGATGAGAAGCGTCGGATTCTTCCACTCCATGTGAAGCCCGTGTTTCCTCAGGCGTAACCCCCATGGCGTCCTCGAGTAGTCCTACGGAAGCTTGACCAGCACTAGTATTTTTTGAATCTGTGAAAACGCACGGAGGGGACTCTCTGCGCGCAGATAAGAAGTGGTTACCGTTTTGCGATTCACGACAAGACTGCCGTATCGACGCCCATGGTGAAAGCCCAAATTTCGACGAGGAAATGGGATGCTCCGCAATGTGACGCTGCAGCCCTTCTAGAACGCCAACTTGCGCCGAGATCACCATGTTTGTGATGACGGGAGGGATTAGCCCCATGGGGTGCACGAGCCCCAAATACTCTATCACACAGTACTCTTTCCTAGCACCACTATTGCCGTCTTCGAGATCTCTTTTTGCAACAACACGCAGGCTGGGCGGCAAGGACGTCGCTATGTCTACCTGTCCCAGGGGAAGTGGCTGCGCCACTATGCCTGAGAGCAGCACTACCGCCCTCACGTACCGTGTTTGAGTTGGATCCATCGGTACAACCTTCCCCATGGGGGTTGAAAACGCCTTCACGACGGCGCAACCGTTCTGAGTGACCGCCTCACAGACTAAAAGCTCGAGATCGCGATCCTGCATGAGAGGGATGGGGGACTTCACTTCCATGTAATGCACCGCAACCCGATGTTGGCCCGGGCGATACTGAAAGCTATCCTCGGCATCAACGCCGCAGGGTCTCATCGGTGGTACACATCTGGCCTGTTTGGAAGGATCAATCGGATGCTCCCGGCCAACCACGCTAGTCTGTGATAGGCCCCCAGGGGCTGGACGGGTGTTCGAAAGGGAATGAGAAAGGGATGTTTCTACCGGAGCGGTGGCCTCCGCTGGAAGTACTGCGATTAAGCTGGTCTGCTGTGCGTGAGCAGGCCCTGTTCCACCACACGCAGCTCCAGGGGGATGGGGTTTAAGCCTACGCACGATGCGACTACTGCGGAGGTGTGAATCCCACGCAGGGCGAATGTCGCTATCCATATACTTTAGCAGGTCGGCGGGGCTGCAAGGCATAATGGCACTTGCGCGCATAAGGTGAATAGGACACCCCTCAACAGCTGCACTAAATATCTCCACACCGGTATGGTTGTTGCTCGCGATTCGCCTGAAGGTCAGCGTTCCAAAAGCGCAAGGCGGGCGCACAGCACTAGTGCCACTGCTAGAACCCTTAGTTGAGGATTCTGCTGGTGTGTGAATGGGCGCTCGCTGGAAACTTAACGGTGGAGAGTCGGCAAAGCCCATTTTAGTTGGCGGTACTGTAGGTGCACGAAGAATCTCCATGATATCAGTAAAATCCGTTACACTAGCGTACAGCTCCGCGTCGTTTACGTACGCGTCTTCCTTTGGTAAAACACGCATCGGATGGGGTGGGCAACTACAATAATCACGTGAACGTGGAGACGAAGATGAAGATTGTTGTTTAATGATGGCGGAGAGATAAGAGCGAAAACCTGATGTCAAGAATGACGAAGATGCGGATGTGGGCACTGATATAGAAGCACTAGGTCTGGCCCTCTGCTTTTCGTCAGAGTCCGTTTCCTTTTTGGAGAGCAGATATGCCATTTGTCTGATATTAGTAGTGGTAGTAGTAGTTTACCACGGGCACAAAAGTTGCGGTATAGATAATATTCTTTTACTTATGTCTATTGACAGTCTGTTTCATGTGGTCAAATACCTACAGAAGAAGGTGTTCAAGTTACTTGTTAAACCCCTCAGCAGACATCTAAAAGATTTAAAAATGGAAAAAAGCCCTTTCTATCCCATCTACGCTATGAAAGCAAAAATGATTTTATTTTGAAGAGCATTAAACCGATCACTGCATTTCCAGATCCCTTAATTGTTGGTCCTGGACATATATATTTATATATATCAAAAAAGAAATGCAGAATAGGCTAAATAAAAGGCGATACGTATGTTTCCAATGCTAAAGCAATTTTATGCAAATATATCGGAAAGGGAAAAGTGCGACCATGTTTGAATATCAAGTGCAGCGTATATTTCCCATTTGCCTGACATAGTACAGTTACCAGTACGCGTAACGCCCATTCCTCACGATACGAGGAAATATATTCTTTCTCTACGTGGAAGAAAACAGAAAATACCAAGGCTTTTAATACATGTATATAAGCATAAATATGCAAACCGTTTACAGATGGAAAATTACATAGTAAATTTAATAAATGTTCACAAAAATACATTCAACTATGGTAAATACTATACCCGCGCGTAGACATGCACATATTAAAACTAAACATACCATAACCATGCGCACCTAGTGATCCCTTGCGTCTTCACTGTATCGGGGCACATCAGGTGGTGCTGGCACATGCACCGGTTCAAGAGCTTGTGCTGCATAAAGTAGAGGCAGACGAACCAATCGGTTCGGCATAAGAGAGAAAAGTTTGGACGCCTTATTGTCAGCGGCCCGCCCCGTAAGCCGTTCAACAACACGACGCCTTTCAACTACCTCCTGCTCCCGGTGACGCCTCCAGGATTCCAACCTTCGGTACAGCCGCTCATGAGCCGGCAGTGTGGAAGTCTTGTCCAAATTCGATGTATCTTTTGTTGCCGCAGACACAGAACTGACTTCGCCGTGCCTCACACCCTCAGAAACGATTGAATTCTTCTTTTCAGTTGGAAGAGTTAGAAGAGCAAGATTCAGACCAATGCCAGGATCCTGTTGAACCATTGCATGGTTAGAAACACAAGACATTCCAGAGCGAGATTGATGCTTCGCCGCTGCTTTAGGGAGGCCTTTAAGTTTAGCCCCCGCGACAGGTGAAACCCTTCTTTCCTTTGTCAGGGAGTTTGTGGCAGTTCGAGGATTGCCTCTACGGCGATGTAAGGCTGCATTGCTAACCATCAGTATCATCGTTTCTGATTCATCTTCAATCGATCGCTGCTGCCAAACCTGCTTTATACGACTCAGAAAAGCTCCTGGTGCATAGCCCGAGGGTCGCACACGGTCAAGTTGATGAGCAAGGTGCGCCAAAATAGTCTGATCACAACGCTGCCCCACCACTGATGCAGATAAATTGCTGAGCTCATTCTGAAGGCGGGATTGCAATGCGTTGTCACTATGCGTATGGTCGCGACTCCTAGTCTCCACAGGGGCCCGGCCACAGTCATTGTAAGAGAAGGATTTAGGAGTGTGTGGCACAGTCTCCATTAACGAGGAGACTGAAGTCGTAAGGTTTTCAGAAATTGCTAATGCACCGTCTCCGATAAAGACAGGTCGATTCATGCTGCTAAGACGTTTGTCAGGTGGATGTCTTCCCGTCACACTCTGTCCGCGGTGCTGCAGAACTTTCCCGCTTGAAGCATCCGTATCCGTGGGGTTGGGCGATGTGGAAGTTGATGAGTCGGGTTCACTGGGCGGCACGCGTGCTTCTTCAGAATCTTGCAAAGGCGGAGTAGGGGTCAGAAGTTGTGTTGCAATCAGGCTAGGCAGTGCATCGCATTTGTTCAACTGGGAATCTGCGGGGTGTCCCTCCGCTTCTAAGACTGTTAAAGTGCTTGTAGGACCCAGGGTGGGCAACCCCATAATGGGTGTGTGTGAAGAGTCGTTTGGCAACTTGAGTGTTTTCGAGACTGCAATGTTCTCCAAGTCTGTAATAAATGATGATTGTGCCCCATCACCGCACTCAACGTTTTTCTTCTGCACTGGTGAAGATGACCCATGGTTGTCTTCCGCACGCATTGCGTCCGTTAAACTAGGACACTCAACTATACTAACGACCCCTACGTCGGAGTCTTGAGTTGTCCCCGTACTAGCCATCTTGATGCTCTCAGAGAACACATCCTTAGCAAATATTTTGCCAGAATTCATAGGACTGCCACTGGTGTCAATCTCATTGCTAGAACCCTCATAATAAGCAAAAGCTGAAAGATCCCAATGACCGCCGAAAGCGCTTTCCGTGGGAATTAATCTTGGACTTCCATCCTCATGATAGTCCTCTATTTTACAAGTATTGGGAATCACCTCAATCTTGCGAAGCCAAGAGACTGGATACATCTTAAGCAAAGCATTGCGTTCATATTTACCCCTCAACCCGCGTTGAGGTCTCAATATATACAGAAAACGATCGGCAGCACGACCATTCCACGTCTGTGGCCTGCGGGGTGGCTTATCGTTGGGATGAAATACCTCTGGGGGCAAATCATCAGCGTTCACAGACGCAAGGAACCCCATTGCAACACACTTTCGTGGCAAAATCGTCTGTAGGAGTTTCAGCTCCCGCTGCGACACAACACGCCGACGAAAATCCCTGGGATGCTGCTGCTGCTCCTGTCGCGCTTTCTGCAGGGTTCGAGAGGCTGCCACCAAATTTTTACCCTCCTTCATCCGGGACTTCCGATATGCAGTAGGCTTCATGTTCATCCATTTTACGCTACCAACCCTCTTTGCGTGATCAAACATTTTTCTTTTGGACGCCAGGTGTAAGCCAGCCGTTCGATCCTCAATGGAAGACCCACCTTGCAGCGCCTGCGACGCAGCATGACTACTTAACTCAACATTCCTCTTGGCCTGCAGCAGTAAGTAATCCAGAAACCCCTCATCCTGCCCTTCGGGCGCTATCATAGATGAGGACCGAGAACACCTGGAAGAAACCAATATCGTGGCACCCTCCACTGTCCTAGAAGATGAAAATTTACGCTGGAAGGTATCTGAGTTCATCGCGTTCCATTTGTTTAGACCAAAAACTCCGACGTGAGAGAGGTTCAGAACGGAATGATAGTGTCTTCGTGAGGTAAGACTTTCATGATCGCGGATTGGTGAGATATTTGGTTGCATACCGGGAGGAGCAAGGGTGGCGCTTGACTCAATACTACTATTGATCGCAAATGAAGGACGTGCAAAAGACAACCTTCGCGTACCAATATGGCCTGTTTCAAACGGAGTCATGATTCGGTGTGAGGATCTCCGTTGAGGCCGCGCGCGCTCATACTGCCTCTGCAGTGAAAAAAGGCGCACGTTGCCGTCCCCTGAGCCTACCACCACGAAATCTTCTTGATTACCACCACCAGGGCTGCGACTATCAACTAAAAGGTGTTTACCATGCGCCGAGTTAATAGAGGATCCGGTGCGATCCGTAACCGCTGCCGCTGACAAAACCTGAGAACTCTCTGAATCGGGTTGTTCCCCCCCCTTAGCTGATCGAGCGGTCATACCACTCCCGGTTGTGGATCTACGTTGAGCCATACCATACCGCGACATGACACCCAATATGCTTCTATGCCTGGACGGTAGATCTTGAAACTTTGCCGAAGGTAAAACCGTCGGCAGGCTGAAGTAGGCGAGCGAGGACACCTCCTCCGGTGCCCCTTGGAACACGCAGCGCTCTTTTATGACGGCTGCAAAGTCAACGGTGTCGGACTTGAATGCAGAAATATCTAATACACGCACACGGCCAAGGGAATCACCGCATATTAGAAGTTGTACGTCGGTATTGTGGTAAATCACTTTTCGAATCCGGCACTCGTGGGCACGATGCAGCCGAAAACGGGCCACACTTCGATTCGTCAGGTAAGAGTACACGTGCACCACGCCTGTATCAAGGACTATGACGAAAAGATTTTGGTTTGAACTGTTAAGAAAGAAAAGTCCAATCACAGCACCGATTTCCGGCTCACTTTCCTCAGTCTTGTCGCCTACGCCTATACAACTGCGGAGGGGCTCCTCTGCGTATGGCTCACTACCATCCACCATACGATAGAAAAACAAACGAGTGTCCATGGTACCAAGGCAGATGTGTGTATCTCGGACAATGCAGCAAGCCGTAATCGTGGTGCGCGCCGTCGCTGGGAGGTGGAAGTTCATCGCAATAAACTGCTCCTCCCCGCTAGGATCCACATCGTTGGTGAAGTACCGCCGCAAAACACACCGATTGCTGCCGCACACTAGCATGTGCATACCATAATGATAGACCACAGTTGCATCTAAGTTGAATAAACTTCCAGGATCAAGAATCGGCTGCGGTGACGACGTTTGCTTTTCGGCGTCAAGTGTCTCTGATGCAGGGGACTTATACACAGATGTGGGCCCAGATTTACTGGCCCTTTTGTTGTGTACACGGCGGTTAGTTTGGGTTTCATGGAATCGATCCACAAATCTTTTATTGTTGGACAGAGGGCGCTGCACAACAAGTACCTCCTCAACATTATTCACGGCACCGGTGGAAGCATCAAGTGTGATCACTTGTCCTCCACGCGAGCCCGCGATAATACGCGTGCATGCGTCTGTACTCCAATCACAGACCGTCACAAGAGGACGATGGAACATCGGTAATTGCTTACGAATTTCGGCGCATAGGTTGACCTCTCGCAGCAGGTCTCCCTTCAATGGATCCCACACTCGCCACCAATCAGCACTGAATGTATGCAACTCAAACCGATCAGTACCAACACCCTTTTCATTAACACCTTCAGCATCTGTGGCAGATGAACCCTGGCGCACATGCCGTAGCAAGACATCCACAATGGCACCGTGATGCGTGACATTCTTACGAGTTTTTTGTTGTGTATTTGCCTTTTGTTGGTTTAATGGAGAAGTCGGAAGTGCTGTAGATGGCTGCTGCAGCTCAAAGGCCGTGGTCCCTAACTTGGGCTCTGGTTCTTCTGGTTCCGGTGAAGTGGGTAAAACTTTCGCTTTGGTCTCAGCAGAAGACTCTTCATGCGGCCCATTTTCGAACCGATCAAATAGGATGGGGCCGCGTAAAGCACACACCAGTCTGCCCTTTCCCCCTGGGAAGAACGCTACACAGCCATCCGGGTCATCCTGAGGGCACCGCATGGCCATCCATGATACGTCCTCAACGTTGCATCCGTCGCACTTCGTCACATGGATCATACTTAAGGGACGGAAGCCTTTGAAGTCGTAAACAGAAATGATCAAATCTGCTGTGAGCACCGCTATAAGATGGTCTTTTGGCATGAAAGACACGCTGACAATATCGTACGTCTCTTGTGAAAATCGATGGACTAAGTCAACAGTATTGCGACCCATGCTCCACAGTAAGACGCGTCGGTCACTGTGTACGGTGGCAACTAAGCGTGCTGAAAGGCAGAATGCCACAAGCTGGACATGGCGATTTGAAGTAATACTAGATGTGGTATTTCCAAAAAAATACTGTGAGGAGGGGGTGTCAGTTTGACGTTGGAAGATCCGACTAAAGTTTGGGGCACTTTCAACGTTCAACACTGAATTGAGAGGAATATGAGAAACGCTCCCATCCCGCGCACAGGATACTATATACTGGAAGACGGGATTGTAAAACAGTCCCATCACCGGTGTACTCGAGTCATGGGCTCGTACCTTGCCGAAAAAGGGCACCGGTTCATCCAGGTTCATCAAGGCCAATATACTTGAGCTCTTAAGATATTGTGAGAGATCAAAACCGCCAACGGTACCCTCGGCCGTACCGAAGACACAAATAAGAGTCGTAGGATCCAAGAAAACTGCCGTAGGGCTGACGAAACCTTCGATAGGGATGGCATTGTGTTTGGTTTCCGATTTCACTTGCCACGACTCCTTCAGCCGGTTATTAAAGACCTTAGCCGTCATTCCATTGCGATACACGAGCCGATGGGGGCCACACTCACCCGGTCTCAGACCAAAACGTTTCGTGCCACCCAAGTCAGGTTGCACGACAGTGCGGAGGGCTGTTACCAGGGTCGTGCAGCCACGGTATTTTTGCAGCACCGCACCTGAGGGAAACTCCAGCACCGTCAGCTCAGCATTTGAGGTTGCGACGAAGAGATACAGCTCATTGTGAAGGAACTGCATGTGAAGCACCCATGAGGTGCCGACATTGAGCAAGTTGCCGACAAAATTACCCCAGTCGCTGTCCCAGAGCTTCAGTAGGCCGTCCTTGGAACTGGTCACGAGTCGGTGGTGCACGGTAGAGACCATGACATGGTCAGCCGACTGCGTGTGAAGCCCTTTAAGCTCCTCGGCAAGGGCCTCTGACTCGGCCGCAGCGCTGCTAACCACACCCTTTGTTGAATTTGCAGCGGCGATAAACCCCCTACCAGGGCCAGTCGCGCCGTTGGACGCGCGATCGGTGCGGCGGCGCAGCTGCTCGTGATCCCATGGCATCTCGTCCATGCTCGAATCCTCGTCAGGGTCAATATCATTGTCGTCTTTGTCCCTATCATCATCCCCAGTTGCGAAACAATCCTCGCGCTGAGGCCCGCCTGCAACTTTGGCCCCGCCCTCGAGCCTAACCTTTAGAACGCGCTTGTAGACAGCCTCTCCTCGGGCGCGACTGTTCGTGCTGTCATTGCAAACGTATCTACTCGAAAGGTCATTTGCATGGACATTACAGTTTTTTATATCCGTAGGAGAAACATTTGTAGGTACAACAGTACTGGAGGGTAAGCAGTCCGCGGGCAGGATTAAATTATTGCTGAAATCACGCCAGGACACTACAGCGCGCTGGCGGTTATTATTTCGTCTCAGTGGAACCCCGTTTAAACTACAATTGGTGCTTTCACTTAAGGTACTAACCAGCTCCGTCCTGCGCTCCCACTCAAGCAGAAACTGCTCCCAAAGTTTACTATTCGTGAGGATGTCTTTAAATGTTTGAGATATGGCACCATCAGGCTGCTCGCCATAGTAAATCAAGAAAGCTGAGCTTTCAGACTCGATGCAATCATCATCTCGCACAAAAATCGGCACATTAAGCTCCTTTACAATTCGTGAAACAGAAAAATCGTTCCCCTGACACGCTAGGGCCAACTCGCCCGGAGCGGAGTTGCCATGGCCACCGGTGTCCTTCATAGCACAGCCACTGCCAGTAATGTTGATCCCTTTATGGGGACCCGAAATCGACGATTTAGAGGAATATACATACCCCTCTAGCGTCGATACGCTTGACCTGCGGCTGGAACTGCTCCTACTTGAGAAGTGTCCCGACAGACTAACATCCACACTCGGTCTTCTTAAAATTAGCTCGTGTGAGAGAGGGGTCTCAGATAGAGGAATATGCGATTGGCAAGCACCCACAGTGATGGGATCAGAAGTTCTCGTGGATGCTAGCGTTTTCGTAGATCCCCTTCCGTCCTCGCTCTCTTGTTTCTTTGACTTCACTAAAACACGCTTGCACGCTAGCGTGGCGTGGGGCATAGCAGATGTGGTGCTAAACAGGCCCACGGACTCATCCATTTGAGTGCGGCGGCTTCGCATTAACTGGTGGAAAAAGTGGAGTTTGTCTATCTGATCTTTACAACGCTCATTCATTCCAGAGTTATGGTCTGGATCCAGGACCAGCAGCAGTGGTTCGATCCATCGAAGCAGGTCTCGTTTAAATTGAGTCAATACGGCCTGCTTCTGTTGGAAGCGACGCATCTTGTGCAGAACAATAGACGCAGTGATGTCCTTTGACGCAGTCAACCCAAAGGGCGAATTATCACCTGGGATCACCCCGACAGGAAGCACACCAATCGGCAAGAAGGGAATTGTTCCTTGTAAACTATCCATGCCGACCGGATCGAACTTCCCGCTTTGATGAAGTGAAAAGCCTAGAGTCGCAGAGTTTGACGAGACATTGTAGTTGCGACCCGGTGAGATATGTTTCATCTGCTCCTGGCTATAGTTACGAGCCATCACCGCAAGCAGCAACTCTACAAGCCACTCTTTACTAATGGCAAGATCATCTGGTAAGGTTCCTTTTAGTGGTCGCTCCATTCCAAGATTCTCCGCCGACATGCTGCTTTTACTGCCTGATTGAACTGGAGCGCACACAGACCGTTGCTCTAAATGACCCGATGACTCAGTGGTCTGTGCGTTCTTCGTAAGATCTCGATCATTGACCGGCATGGACGAATCAACCAAATGCTCGCGTTGGAATGGGTTAGAATTTGCCCCATTGTGCCTATTTGCATTAAAACGCAAAGCATCAGGCAGCACACTAAATGATCTGAACACATCAGCAATCTCCTTCACGTCTTGGGCGCTAAGGTAGGCCGCACAGGGCAAGGCAGAGAATGGGATCTGAGTGGGCAAGTAGCGGGACCGCAGGCACCGGTCCAGGCATGGTTTGTCCCTAGAAAGGGAGGGCGGGGGTACATCAACTTGAAGGAGCATGGTGTGTGCGACGTGTGCGCGCACACGAGTAGTTGCCCCTTTCGACTCTTTGATAGGCCTGAAGCCGGATTTCTTATTACTGCAAGAACTTTGTTGGTTTTGGAACATGTGCAGAGGCTTGTTTAGCGAAAAGGAAGAGTTGAATCCGGTGGACATCTTGCATGTCCAATGTATCTTTGTTACCTCTACCTGAAGCTTCCAGATGCTCTATTTCACATTTAAATGGTAAAGGCAGTTTTCCTTTTTAAGATAAAATCAAAATTGTGCGGAAAAAGGGATGATTACAGATACGGAGACAAAGAATTCCATTGATCACTCTATGATTTTGATAATTTAAAATTTTATATTGGAGACAATTTCTCTTGTATGTGAATTACACTCGCAATCCTGTAAAAAGGTCGGTGTTGTCTGCCGTTGGATTCGCTTGGAGTTGTCATGACCTGGTTTTTCGTTTTTAAGGGAAAGAGCGGTGCGGTAATCGTCACTTAAGTAGTCCCTTTTAGTGGAATGAAGAGTAAATATCAAAATTGGCGCATCCAAACTATCTTGGTTCAAAAGATATGATATCTTTCCTTCCATTCACACATGGAACCCTGGCTTCTATAGAGAAAATCCTACCCGCCTGGTCGACTGCTGCCCAACTCTTCATAAATCCGAAGTCTTTGGTGACCACTACGAAGCCGCCTTGCAAAGGCCTTCTTCATGGCAATATCATTTGGATGCAGTAAGAGCGCATCCATGGCAGCTTTGTTGCTCTTTAGGTAGCGCATCTCTACTAGACCGCCCGCATAGCCGCGGTGCACAAATAGAGAAGGCAAACGAATGGCACTAACTCCCGAAGAAGTGAACCCACCAGCAACCGATGTCCCCTCTTTATTCAGAAAGAGTGCACGTTGTATTGTGCAGATCCACTGTAGCGCAATTGACTGCATATTTTGCTCCAATGTGCGCATAAAGTCATCATTTGAGAACAGGCGCGCCTCCAATATCGGCATTTGTGAAGTCTCAGAAACATCTCGCTCCCCAGACAACGAATCAGACACCTTTCGATTTGATTGAACCTCGCGTTGCAAGTAGTCCTGACAGTAGCGAAGTAGCGACACCTGATCATCTGAAAGGAGTGTTTTGTTACGGTCTTGTTCAGTGCGAGCCCGTGCCACACCAGGACCGGACAAGCCATCCTCATTCTCCTCATTAGACGAGGCAGCTTGGTCGTCCCGTTGGGCAGCACCAGTGTCAATTGTACTTTCTTTAGACGGGGACATTTCCCGATGGTGCGGCATCTTCACCGGGCCCACGTCACCCCGCAGCACCGCCTGAGTTACCAGTGCAGCCAACCCACGGATCGAAAGTTGTCGCGGGACAATTTCACGGCTGTGAAATTGGCTAAGCCATTTGGCATCAATGAAGCGCTGCTGCTGTGCCTCCACCTCGATCTCCTTTGCGACCCATTCCTTGTATGCCTGCGCGGGCGACACATTCCGATTTGGCAGAGAGGCACCGTTGTCTTTTGAGCAATCATCGGAGGAGCCTGAATCATCAGTACGACTGAAGTCAACTTGCCTCGAGAGTCGTTGCTCATAATTTCGATAGTTCTCAAAACCACCACCGCGCACAATCACTGCCAGACCGCGGCTCAGAATGTTCCCATGGATCCAGGAATGAAGGTGCGACAGCAACCGATGCTCTCGGCGGCTTAAGGCGAACTCAACCTCGGGGATGGCGCCACTAGCTTGGAATAGTTGTACCTGCAACAAGTGTTGCGTACGCCGTGCATTGATAGCGCGGATTAGAGCCGCGATGCGGTCCTGAATTGCCGTCGGTAGTTGTGAGTCAGTCTCCTCCTGCGGCTCCTGCTTCTCTAAGGAATGTGTTGGCGCGCCGGGTAGTGCCCCTCGGTCCAAGTAAACTCCACAGACTTTCTGCACTTGGTTAAAACGCGACACGTCGAAGCGACCGCTCCAGGCAACAGATAACTTCACCGCCTGCAGCGGAACCTGCAGCTCATGCGCGATAACAGCGCGGTACTCGTCCCGAAGACGATAATTGTAATATGCAAAACCTACAAAAAAATCGGGGTTAATATGGCCGTCAGGTGGCATCGGCGGTAACGGTCTCTCCAAAATCTGTTGAATTCGTTCCAAGTGGGACTCATAAAGCAAATCAATCGGTGATTTGCCGGTGACAGGGTCGACTGTCTCATAGTCCCACCCCGTACCTTCTGATGCGGATGTCAACCCTGAAGACGTAGTAGTTGAATGTGGAACAGAATCGGATGTACTAGTGGCGGTGCTCACCCGGTTGTCATTATCATAGCTTAAATCAGAGCCTTGATCAGAGAATGGTTCTGATGTTGGAATCACAGTCTTGGATGTATAACGGGTTTTGGCACCAGGTCGCTGCTTCCCGCCTCTGTCCCTCTTGGGGGAGCTTGTCGGTTTTGCACCAAACCTTGATAGGGGTTTTGACGCCCTTAACACGTTAGTAGAGATCAAGACCGTTGAGAAGGAACGCACCTGCCCCATCACGCGTGGGTATTCAACATCAACATTCGATGAAATGGAGTGACGACGGTTTCTAAACCAATTGTTATTAGCAATGCTGGTGCTAAAAAAACGGGCCGAAGCAGCGTTCCATCTCTTGAGAGTTATGGCACCACCTCGCGTGGCATACACGTTGCCCAGCCAATGGTTCAATTCAGAACGAGATGGTGTGTAAACTATGGAGCACACTTGGGACAAAATCTTCGAGGTGGGCATAAGAATAGAAACCCCACCAAAGGTGGCGAAAATAAACTAGAACCCGTAGTTATGAATGGTCAACGTATAAAAAATAATGGATAACTACCACGTAGACAAAAATGTATATGCCTAACAAAAAGCAACAGCAAATTGGAAAAAAAAAGACTAAAAATCTAGAGATCATACACTTCATATGCTCGTTGTGGGGAATGGCAATCGAGAAGTATTATCACTATAATTGGCACTATTACTATTCCTTAGTAGACATTTTTGGTGTAGTAATATATTAAAATATGATGCAATACCTCTGTAGAACTAATCTTTTCCGATGAATTTTCTCGGACAAAAAAACAGCATACGCGACAACATATTACATAATGTTTGCAGCGAGATGGAAAACAAAAAAAAAATAAAAGAATAAAAATAATATATATATATATGTATATATATAATTTCTTTTCCACTCTGGCTTTCCATTACACCGCCTCGAGTCGTTAAAATCTTTGTCATCACTAAACTCCACTAACCCTCGGTTTCCCATGGTTTATTACATGTCAATCAACTACTCCATCTCCCCACGTATCCAAGGGTGATGAAGCAACTTCTCTACGGTTGGTCGCTTATCTGGGTCGCGCTCAAAACACTGGAGCATAAAATCATAGCATCCCGGTGAAGCCTCATCTTTCGGGAGCTCCGTCGGCAGACCTTGTGAAGAAGCAATCATGATAATCGTTGCCGGGGCATTAGACTGGCACGGCCATGGCGGCTTCCCAGTCAACATCTCGGCCACGGTGCAGCCCACAGACCAGACGTCCGCCTTATAACTGTACCCAGTTTCAAAGTTAGACAAGCTGACTACCTCTGGTGCCATCCAATACGGCGTGCCGATGAGCGTGTGGCTCTGCGACAACGCATCCACTAGCCTACGCGCAGCGCCAAAGTCAACAAGTTTTATCTGAGACTCGCTGTCAGGGTCCACGCTGGTGTCCACAAGCACGTTATCAGCCTTAATATCACGATGCATAATGTTCTGAGAATGCAAGTATAGGAGGCCACTTAGCAGCTGCTTTGTCCAGCTGCGCACAACCGACATGGGGAGGGGTTTAAAGCGCCTGACAACATTAGACAATGAGCCACCGCCTATGTATTCCATGAAGATGCAGATACTTGACGAATCTAAATCGTAGTAAACCCCTGTGAAACCACACAGATTGGGATGACGTAGGCGGCGCATAATGTTAATTTCCCGTGAAAGAGAAACCAGCATCTTTGCGTTAAAGTTCAGAACATCTAAACAACCTTTCTGAGATATATCCACAATCTTAACGGCGTAAAAATGACCACTTGGTAGAAGCCCGAGATACACCGAGCCATAGGTGCCGCGCCCAACCAAATTTCCTTTGCGCCAAGTCTTGAGCATCTCGGCGTTAGGGGTTTGGAGCATCTCAGGAGTAAGGCTCTCGGGGCTCAATGTGGCCCAAACGTTATATTGTGCCTCCTCAGTAGAGGAGACAGCAATGGTGCTTGAAATGTTGTATTCTATTGAATCCTCAGTAGTTGAGAATTCAACACAGCGAGCATGAGCAGACTCCCCATCATTGGAGAGAGGCGTCATCGCAACTTCAAGACCCGCTGGGACTGAGTCTCCGCCCGCGCTAGCGTCGATTACACTGAGGCATGGGCCAGACGACCCTCGAGGGGCTTTTTTGCGGGAATTTTTTTTCTTCGGGCCATCTTTGTAAACTGTTTTATTATTCTTAGAAGAGTTCTCACCCTTGTTAGTAGCCGAAGCCTCCCACGAGACGGTATGTTGATTGCTCTTTTGGGTGGTGACTCCATCTTCTGGTTTTAAAGAGGCATCCGTAGTAGCATTTGGTGAACATTCATAATGATTTGAATTTGTTCGTACGGCATCTTTAAGAAACCCTTGTACAGAAGGCCCCGGCAATGCTCCTAAAGCGGAGCTAGGCTGAGCTCTGGATTTTGAGGAACTGCCTCCTTTCTTTGTCCCACACTTAGAACAAAATCTTGCACTTGATTTCGTAAAGATAGCACCACAGGAATGGCAAGTGACAACTTCATTTTCCAAAGAATTGTTCTTGGGACCCGTCATCGCAAGTCCCACTGATGGGTTAGAATTATTACCGTGCAAAACTCCTGTAGACATTGTATTTTTGTGCTGTATTAAACTTTCCGTTTCTTTGATCGTGTTAATTTACCCGCCCTGATAAGAAGCAGAACAAAATGGAAGATAAAAATAGTTACGTAAAAAATACATTGTTTGATCCTATTGACTTTGATACGGGCTTAGTTACAAGTTGTGCATTTCAGAGTATCGACATATATATGTCTGAAGAGCTGTTCAGTTCACATATTTAAAAATTTTAAATGATGAACCAAATACACAGCTAATAAAACGATATCATTGGTAGCATTGCTCTGCTGGTTAAATTTTGAAAGTCAAGCAAGTTGACTTTCATCTTGAGGATCCGTCAGCCTTCCATATCATCACTCCGGTGCTAATTTTGCGTCCAAGGACATACGAGCATATCCAGGATTAAATTACGAATAAAAAATTGATCTTTACCCTTGGCCTTTTCTTGACAAAGACGAATAAGTTTTCCTTCACTGTAAGATACCAACCATATCCACCCCTCGTCTTTCGCGTTCACCCTCAACACTCACACTAATTAAGAGAAACGCCCATCGTCCGTGGGCTTCCCGCGGCGTGACTTTTTGCCAGGAGCATCAGTGCAGCCATTCGTTGCCGATTTTAACTCTTCCTTAGGCTGTGAAGAAACCCCAGCACCAGTGGAAGCTGCCACTTCACTATCACGTTTTTCCTTCGCAGCCATCCGGTAGAGCTGCAACACACGGTCGGCCCGGCGGGCGTGCAGACCCTCGATCGCTGTGCCATCCAGGGCAGAAATGCCACCACTAGCACGCGCTATCTCCTCCCTGATGTGGATAGCCCACTCCACCTCATCACAATTCGGTGTAAAAGATTCGTGCGTGGGAGCAATCTGATCTGAATGAATCACACACTTACCATCGAATCCAAGAGCTTGGCAACGCGAAAGGTCCTGCTTGAAGCCCATCTTATCGGTAGGGTCGTTGTAGACACCATCGATGACGAACATGTTCGCTGCGCGCGCACTAAATAGGACTTGATGAGTCGCGTGTAAAAGAGGGGAAGCTTGCCACCCTTCGAAGGAATCTAATGGGATGGCCGAAACGCTGCTCCTGCCTGACACAATCTTTGATGGAAGATGCAGCTCGGCTGAGAGAGTGTTACACCCTATTACAGCAAATGAATACTTACCACTTAAACAAATCGCTGGGGCTTGCAGTACTGAGATGGGGTGCTCGAAAAAGGCCCATATCTTGTGATCAGGGTGCACGTAACTTTGGATAAGATCGTATGTCTTAGTAGTAACTTTGGGAACCGCAACCCCCTCAATAGACGTTCCAAGAAGTCCAGCCAACTCCAGATCTAGCATCGCAGCGGCAGTGTCAAATTCAGGGGAGCTAATGCGAACCACAAGTCGCTTTCCCGCACACACACCATCTAACCGCTCCCTTTCGATTTCCTGAACAAAGTCGCGGACGCGATCCCGTATCTCACGTTTCATGGAAGGTGTCACACTGTCCTCCAGATCCAATATAAAACAGTCTGCCGTGGAGTCACGGATCTTTTTCAGAGCCCTTGAGCTAGAGCACGAGACAAGAAGCACGCTGCGGGGACATGGCAAAGGACTCTCGCTGGTACGCTGGGCACCTTTTAAAAAAGACATGAACCCCCCGTTGTCTCGCCTCTGCGAGTTACCCTCTTCGTTTAAGCCCTCAGTCTCGTGCGAATCGGAAAAAATGTGTTGTCGCTCCGTCTTGTTCATGGCCTCCAGCCTATCCAGTGTGCGATCGCGATGGACCTCAAGCTCCTTGTATTTCCTCTTCAAAAACGCTAGCAACCCCGATGAAGCATGCGGGGGTGGTGACAATGAAGACCCGCCGCAACCCTTTTGCGCTAAAAGCAATGCTAAGTTAGCACGCGCAAGTAGCTTATGGGTTAATAAGCAGCTAAACATATAAAAGTACTTTCCTTTTTCGAGTAAGCGGCTGCTTCCATCGCTCTCACAAGATGCATCGAAAAGGAAGGAAAAAGAAGGGGAAAATGGAAAGAATGGTACTTAAGTGGGAATCGCATAGCAATTATGTGCAGAAAACACATCCAAAAAATAAAAAAATGCGACAGGATCTTTAGTAAGAAAGAATGCAGTTCACTGCACATACCACGTCGCACAGTGTCTATGGGAGAAATCAAAATGAAGCAGTGCTATGAAAAACAAAAGTCTCACAACGTTTTGGAAGCGTGAGAATCACCACCATCATCTCGTAGCTTTCATACTGATCCCTTAGGGCTAAAGGAATAATAGAAAGAAGTAGCGTCAATGCTAGTGAATCGCTAGGCATAGCAAACATTCATGATGGCACTCCACAAGAACAAAGAGCTCAATCATCGTTGTTATGGCTAACAGTCATAAAAGGAAATATGCTATGAAAGGTATTTTAAAAAAAATGAGCACGAGGAGCATCCATATTACTTAATTAAATACACCGAGGAGTTTCATGTAAAAATAGTTTAGGAGGTGTACAAAGAGTAATATTAATTCCTCCTACCTCGCTACCTATTTGTAAACGACAAAAAAAAGTAGCGAAATTACTCCTGTTTATCTGTATATAGAAGGGAAGTACTCCACTTCCTCTCCAGTGTGTAGGGAAACCGAATGTGTGAACAGATCACGGCATCAAAATCCAATCCCTTCTGAATTCTGCTTTATTACGCCTTACTTACTACCTTTTCTCTGACGTTCGCATCAAAACACCTAAATGATTGTAAACAGATATAAAAAAGCACCTCAACCAACTTCACAAGATACAAATATTATGGCATCATGGAAAAAAATGATGGCGGATGTCGGTGCACCACATGAGTCCGATCGAAATGTATTGAAAAAACTGAAAAATGTAGTTAGGACATATTACACTACTGTGATTTGTGGTCTAATCTGTTATGCTCCCGTTTTGTTTACTATCATATAGAGAGTGAGATAGACATAAACAAACTCCATCATCTCAGTTGTGTTGAAGTGTTTTCTTCTTTAAACAGCAAAAACTGTGGCACGGGGCTGAAGCAAAGTTCGGGAAGCCACACCTGCAATAGAGAGGAAGAAGTTTGACCCATAGAGTCCTCATTGGCCCCAAAGCCAAAGCCCTCCTGATCGGAGGCTAGCGTCCCGTCGTCGGATAAAGGACCTTGACCAGAGGCGTCAAATCCAGCAGCAAACCTATTCGTACCACTCATCATTACGGCGGTGGAGATGGTGGTCCCTGTGATTGGGCACGGTATGGGGCTACTAGCTGGTACACCTTTCCTGCCACTTTTGTGCGTCTCAGTTAGAGGAGTCGTCATTACACCATCTAGCCCCTCCTTCAGGGCAAATACTCGATCTTGACGTAAATGACCAAGCGAAGCCCAGCGAAACCCCCATTGCCAGATTGTCCATGGAACCGAAGAGCTTCCCAGCTGGCGGCCCAGTTTAACACAAACCTCATGATGTGAAGCAAGACGGGAAGGATCAACATAGCTATTTAACAGGAAATTCGGAACAGCAGGAGGCAGCCTTTTGGCATCTGGAGCAGGCAGATAAACCACGCCTGAGGACATGGGGTCAATATTCACACTGCTTGGAGGTGGAGCCAAAAACCCTATTGCTTCTCGCACATTATGTTGAATTTCTCTTACATGCGAAGGGTACATAGAAAGGGATGTGTTAATGCTGTCTTCGATGTCCTCCGCCTCGTAAAGCTGCTGTTTGATAAGATCTCGAGCTTTACGTCGGAAATTTTTCAGCTTCCGAAAAAGCAGTACCAAGCGAGTCTCATTTCTGAGCCCCACTCCTCCATGAGACAATTGATGAAGGGCATAGCCAGACCGACTACCCAGGGTGACGGAACGAAGTTGCTCTAGTGTGCGAAAAGCGCTGGCGATGGAATGAGACACAAAGTTCTCCGGCAAAACCACTGACGATTCGGTCGTGACGGACGACTCAGGAAAATGAAACCAAACCTGAAGCGTTGCCACAGGTACAGGAGCATTCCCCTGCGCAGGGCTCGCACCCACATCCGCATTTGTGCGACCTTTCGACTTTTTTCGCTCGCTGCGCGGTCTACTACCACTGCCAGAGCAATGTGTGGCTAAAGAGCGTAATAGGCGCGGCTCTGGTGAACACCCTCGCTGCACGCGTGTCGTTTTGATGGTATCCCGTTCCGTTTCTAGATTCACAGTGTTGCCATTATAGGCAAAATCAACTTCCTGAATTTTCCCCGAAAGCAGCAGTGCGTAGGGGACGTGAACGTACCTGCGAACAACTGAGCTCACACCGCCAGCGCTAATTGTCGTATCACAGGGTGGCGGCGTCCGTGCTGAAGACGGCGTATCGCTAAAGGGATGCATTGCACAGTCAAGTCTGTTTACCTTTCCAGAAACATAATGCATAGAGGGGTGCGGCATGAGGCTGCACAGCCCCGCAATAATCGCTTCTGCGCTTTCCAAACGCGTGTTATTAGAATAAAAGGGTGATGGAAAGCGAAGCAGCAGGGTGCAAGTGTATTTGCTCAGTGAAACGCATGTAGATGGGAGAAGAAGTTCATTGTCATTCGAAAGTCTTACTGTACACATTTGAAGGGCGATGGACGAATCATGCGTGGGCCTGGCGTCTGAGGACGTTATCTGAGCCATGCCATCCTCAAGCTCTGCATCATGAGGAAGGCCTAATGAAGAGGAAGCTTGCGATGATCGAGTTTCCCTCTGCTGCAACTGCTGATCTTTACCTTCCAAGTCGACCCCACCGTTGGTAAATGACAGCCTATTTAACTCCAATGCCACCTGTAGAGTGTCATCAGGATGATTCAGGGGTTCATGTGGATAGCCAAGTGCAGGGCTGGTGCGCGTCGTGCCGGCCTCCAGTAAGTGCGCATTAAGGAATAACTCTGGTGCATCAAGGGGGATGGCGAAGAGGTGACTTTCTCTTGATAAGGTGTGTGTACACGAACTAGCGATGTGTGCATGGCGAGAAGCATCAGTATGCTCATGCACAGGTACCGCAGTTGATCGAGCCTGCGCGGATAATGCGAGCCTTCTGATCTCCCTATGAGCATCAGTAGCTGAGGACAGAGAGTCATCAAGTTTTTCCAAATTAGAAAGTCGTGCTGAGTTCGATGCTAAAGCCGCAACAGTCCGAGGTGGGAGAGGTAAGCCGTCCTCGGTGTAAACAAAATCAAGCGAATAGGTTACATTCGCCTCGCCGCCTAAAGTTTTGCTATAGCGATTTTTACGATTGGACTTTGCCTGGCTACCTGATTTACGGGACCGAGTATGACGCACAAGCTTCAGGAGACCCCAGCGCGCCCTCATAGACACTGAATCGGATGTTGACTGATCCTGCTTACTATCCTTCATTGTCGCGCTTTCCGAAGACGTCTTACCCAGCGACAGCGTGGCAGCACTCATCGTATTTGTATTTCGCTTGTCGCTTTCCAGTCTCCTGAATGAAGAACTCGGTTTGGTGCCTTCGCCTTTGAGCGGGTCTGTACTCGAGTCACTAACGTCAATCCTATCACCTTGCAAGCAAGTTTGTGTGCTAGTCCCCACAGCGGGTGTTGTTGTGGAAGAGACTGAGTCTGCCAGACCTGCTGTTGATGTCGGGGACAAAAATCTCTCGTAGACCACATTAAAGGGTTCGTTTACGCAGTATGCCTCACAAACAATACCCTCCTCCAACAACTTGCGCACGCTAACACGCTGCAATGCCTTTTCGTCGCCGTAGTTGTTGAACAGTGTTAGTGTGAATTCATCGGCAGGACTGTCCGCACGAGAATGGCATCCAAATGTGCCACTAAGGCGTGGTGGAATCGGTTGATCGGAATTCTCGAATTCCTGTGGGGGTATGATGGAAATTGGGGACGCACTAGCAGAAGGGCAGGACGATTCTCTAGGAAAGTTAAGGTGCGCTAGGGGGTTGAGAATGTCGGATACTTCTAGTTCGAGCACACCTGTCTTTGGTGGGTGGTCTTCCAAAGATGCACCTACAGCAGCATCCCCTTGTAGGACAAGCAAATCAGCCTCTGTAGTTATTTCATCATAGTCATCATCAATGGTAGATGCCCCCATAATGCGTTGCCTCTGCTGAGGGTGCTTGTGGAGGTACTCGTTCAATCGTTTGCGCAACTGAGCAATCGTATGCTTGGCCTTGTCGCCCAGGTCCTTTTCAGAGAAACGTATCTTTTTTCTTCTAGGAGTATCACTCCTTGATAAAACATTCATACTAAGCACATCATCCATCATCACACCATCAAGCAGCACGTGCTCCATGAGTGCTAGCTCGAAATTAACAGCCACGAGCAGTTCCTGACGCATCGCGCGAGCCCACAACCCCTGCCAAATGTGGTTTCCAATCTTGAAGCTGGCAATCTCGAGTCGAAGCAATGATAAGTCCCGAGAGAGAATTACTTGCTGACGCGCAATCTCGCGCAGCTCTGGATCCTGGCACGTTATCGGTGTCAAGGAGCTGTTACCATTAATTGAGAATCCGTGGTTATGACCAAGCGGCCCTATCGCCACCGAGTCAGCAGACAACTTCCCACATCCCATTTCGGCTAACTCAACATCTATGCCATGATCAATCTCATCAATCGCCGCGAGACGCTGTCGCAGGACCGCTGCACACGAGAAGAGTCCCGCAATCATTTTCTCAGTCTCACTAGAGTCTTCGGTGAGGGCTTTGATTTCCTTCAGAAGACCCTCGCAATACGAATCCATTGGAAGTGGGGACATATTCTCCTGTGCAAGGGATGCATTGGCTCTGGTGAGTTCGTCAATCGAGACGCGCAAGGAGGCGATCTCCTGCTCCGTTCTCTTTCGGGACAACTCGATACGCCGGTCTCGCTCCTGCATCACCATTGCGATTATCTGCTCTAGGCAGCTATTTTCACTCTCACGAAGACTAGCAACACAATTGTGGGCGGCCGAATACACCCTGAAAAAACGAAGATCAGCCTGGCTCGGGGCCAAGGGCAGCACTAGACACACGGCAGACTCACTCCTATGCCCAGCGCTCGCACCATAATCTGAGCTAAGGGAATGTACTGAAGAAGGGTTTTCAGCAGGGGCGGAGATGCCGCGTAGCGGAGAAAAAGCTGTAGCGGTGCAATTAGCTATAGAGACGACGCGGTCAATACACGTCATGTACGCCAACCGCACCTCTGCACAGAGGCAATCATAGTATTTCTGCATCTGCTGGAAAGCGCGCTCCAACCGGCCCTGTTCCGGGTCAACGATGTCCTCAAAAATATCCATTAACCCGCGCTTTTTAATGGCATCGTTGAGGTGATGGACTTGAAAGTTCGCGTGCCGCACCTGGTCGGCAAAACGGAGGCTGTTGAACGTCTCCAATCCCGAGCAAGGTGAGACGTGCACGAGAACCAGAACGCGACCTCCCTCAAGACAAGGCCGAAGTATTCGAGTCAATTTTGAGTCCCGGTACGGCACGTGCTTTGAGTGGTGGTAGAGCGCCAGCACCACGGAGGATAGTGCGGAAAGGGACTTGTTGATGTACTGCGCTTCACGCAAGGCGGGGCCCTTGACCTGCGTGACTTTGAGTCGCTCACATCCAGCAAGATCAACCATCGCGACGTAAGATGTGATAGTTCGGCGCTGTGCTGCACTTTTGCCCCCGGTATCCGTGATTCCCGATGTAGTGCTGACACCATTATCGCTTCCACCAACTTCCTTTGCCACTATCGCATCTTCACAAAGGGAAAATCCTACCTGGATGATGAAAACCGCATGAGAACGTGAACTGGTGTCGTTTCGGGCGTGCACAGATATGATGCGGTTTCGGCGAGCAAGGCGATACGCGTGAGAGAGGTCCATAAGCGACGTGATAGGAATACCTCCTCCCGTCTTCTTCCCACCCGATCCGCCATTCTGCCGAGACGCAGCTGCGGCTGCCTCCTCACGTGCTTGATCAAGTTGCTTACACAGAGACACTAGTCCACCGGTATCGCTAACGTTAGTGATTGGTCGCTTACCGGGATCCATCAGATCGTAAAGCCCATCGACATACAGCTCAATTCCGTAGAAAGTGAGGTCCTGTAGAGTTAACGAGACGGTTCCGGTGCGGCGCTCCGGGGGGTTCGACTTAGATAATGCACCAGCATGCACCGACTGATTCATCGTGTGACGAATATTGTCAGGAGAAGCGGCAGCGCCATTATACTCCTTGGAATATTTCACCGCCTTACCACGGCGATCGAGTAGGACGCAAACCAACCGAGGAAGAATACCCATATCCTCTGATATGCAGCTGTCCGGCTTCGGATGCCCGTCATTTCTCACCTTCATTAAGAATTCCTGAGGCCAACGCCGATGCGTGTTGTCAAAGGAATTCAACTCTCCATATTCTTCCTCAGATAAACGCCCCAAGCTACCCTGACTCGCATCTAGAGGGGTGTTGTCCGATCTCAATGTAACCGTTGCTAATGTGGACAGCCCTGTAGGAGCTGATTTTTGATCGCTAGAACTGATTCGCGAGTTTGATATTCGCTCTTTCTTATTCCAGAAGCCTGCATTCCATCCTTTCGATCGGTCCCTTCTAGAATCCCGAGTGCAATGACTCCAGTGTGAATTATCGTCAACATGACGACTTCTATAGGGAGAAAATGACAACAGAATATCCTCTTGCCTTTGCCTCTGAGACTTTGACGACGGTGTTATCGTTCCGAAAAATTTACTGTTGTGGTTGCCCATCATGGTGTACGTCTTGCCGCTTCCAGTGGGCCCATAGCACAAAATGCTGACGTTGCGACCGAGTAATGCCTCGTCGGCAATCCGCAAGATACTCTCCTCAAACACTTCCTCTTGGGTTGAGTCCTCGTCGTAGATAAACTCAAAACGAAAATGCTTATCGGCGTTATTCTTTGCGTTCTCTCCCAATGAGGGCAAGTTGCCCGTCGGCAAGTTATCTCGCTTCTTAGAGACAGCGACGGACGCGGCACCATTGCGGGGAAAGCCACCCCTTTTTCTATGTTTGGCATGTGTTCCCCCTCTCCCCTGATTAGGATCGAGTAATGGATCCGAATGCATCTCCATCGAGGATGCTTGCAACCGCCCAGAGATGGGCTGACGTCCGGTTGCTAAGTTACGGCTACGGCTACGGCTGTGGACACTACGGGTATTTGCTTGCTCCATTCGAATAGAAGGAGGTACCAAGGACGTGTTACTAAACGGCGTTATTGACCGATTGAAAGGATCTAAGGTTTGCTGTGTAGGTGTGGACAACTCCAACGTAGGAGAAAGCCTCCCCATACTCTCACTCCCAGCTCGGAAATTCATGATGCCGTTCAGCGGCTGACCACGGAAGTGAGCTTCACTAGATGGACTGTTGTGGGCTTGCAAGTGGCTATAGGGCACAAATGGATTAAAGAAGCTCCATATGGGGGGGTCGCTGCTTGCGTTGCAGGAGGCCAACGCGTTGAGGCTTGAAAGAGATGGTGGCGGCAGGAGGCACCCCTCCTGTTTAGACTGTGGAAGCGGTGATGACAAAGATGCAGTCGCACGTACTACCATGTTTTCGTGATCAAGAAACCACACACGCCGATGCCTGCTGCTCTCCCCCATGGAGGACAATAGAGGCCTGATTCGAATGTGCACCACCGGCATCATTGCCTGTGCTTTCGGGAACAACGTATTCGATCCAGAAAGCACAGAGGGGTGGTCCCGAGGCTGACTTCTCGGCCGTCTTGTAGCTACGTTTTGCTGCCTGGAGCTTGGTACAAAGGGTTCGACAACGTCCGTAGAGACGACCATGGGTGAAGTGAGACGCTCATGCGATGGAGAAGTTGAAGAAGGAGCCCCGCTCGCAAGAAAGGTGGTTGAACTCATGTCAGCGATCTCTAACACGGGAGGATCGATATTCCTACCTATTTGACTTTTTGTTCGAAATTGAGGGTTCTTTGCTGCCGCCAGCCTTGACGCGCGAGACACCTGGGGAGAATTGCAGTCTTTACCATTATTTGTAGTCGCGTGAGATTTCGAAGCGCGATATGATGGCGAAGAGCGTGATCGGTAGCCAATTTTACCGCCTTGAGGACTGTTAAAAGACGCACTACTATTCGCCGCAAAACGGCTATTTTTAACAGGGGCAGCTGAGGAGGCTGGCCTATCTTGGAAACACGATGATTTCCCTAACGGAAAAGGATCAGTCTCACTAAACCAAGACAACGCCTTTTCAACGCTATCCATTTTTAACACCCCTTGGGGGCTATTACGAAGAGTATGCGGAACAAATGGGTTGCGAGAGGGTGTTTTGTGGGTTGACGATTTTAAATCTGACAGCTTCGAGTGTAGGCCTGGAAACTTTTCCATTCCCGTAGAATTAGAGTTAGCCCTAGTTTCCTTCCTTTACCTTGGTGATATTTTTATTTAACTAGTGTAATGGACTTTTTACTTACCTAATAATGGTGGTCTGATCTTATTATCCTTATTCTTTAGTAAATTTTCCGCTCTACAACACTGCTTTCTTGGCCTTCTATTGAAATATCTTTATGTATGATAGGAAATCTTTACAAAATAATGAAAACACTGAATCAGTCAAAAGTGACTAATATAGCAAAATTGATACAAAAATGAAATGGTTCGAATGAGTTTGTGTGCTCTATTTAATAAAGAATATATTATATACTAATAATCCGATCTGTAAGGAGGATTGTGAAGTAATTTTCCCTAATGTGGTTACTACAACAAGGGAATCTGTATATATGATGTCTAATCAAGAACACACGAACCACGAAAGAAGATGTATAGAATGCATGCGTATGGATTTATAGTTAGTAAATGTAGACACTAGTCTTTGTGTAAGATATCTAATCAGCTTAAAATAGACAAGGAAACATATATATTAAGGAAAGGAAATACAATGAGGACTTGGATAAGCACAAAAGCATAGCAGTCTCATGCATTCAATGCTGAAATGGTAAATAAAATCTCTTAGAGAAGCATAGGGCTATGGGGTAAGCAGTGTGTTATTCTAAATCAATAGAAAGAAAGCGACTCACGCCGGATAACATAACTCTACTTATGGCTGTTTAACACCGTTCAAACACCTTATATAAGGTCTCTACTGTCACCACCGATTGTATATCCCCATTAGTAAGGAGATCTGCAGAGGGTATAAACAGCTTCTTGTTTCGCATACAGGGGAATAGACCAAAGCGGATGAGATTACCTAATCTTTCGAGAGGTGTCGGGCCGCCTTCCAGAGCATTCTGAGCACCGCCCTGTGTCTTCATCGAGGAATACGACGCCGAGGTAGTCGAACAGGGTCGGGAAGGGTTCCCTGTCACACAGCTGTCGCGCTCAACGGCAGCTCCAGCACTGTCAGGGCACGAAGACGAGCCCTCATTTCCCGAGTCCTCATCGACTGGCACGACAAGCCCATAGAGAATATCCGCTATATGGCGTGCAATCGATGTGAAGCACCTGATCTCCGCCTCTATTTCGCGCTCCTGTTGTAGGAAATGGCTCTTGCCTAGTGTGTTTTCTGGATATTCATCATCACCGCTACGCGGTGTGGCCGGTGAGGGATAAGGAACCGCGTCAGCTAGCACCCACAGGAACAGCGGCACAGCTCTCAGGTACGGTGCCCAGGATGCGTTAAGGCCATGAGGAAGCGCCATCAGGTGCTGCGCGTCGTCCGTAAGGACAATGCTGAAGTAATCATTTAGCATATCACGCCAAAGGCTTAAGCGTCGAACAAGAGAACATACATACTTTTTAGTAGCCATCTCCGCTTTAGCGGAACCCCACATAAGGTACGGCGCCGCTGTCATCAGCTCCTCGACCTCGAAGCGGAAATCCACGTTGTGAGGATTTGACTTTTCAATGCTGTCATGTTGCAGCGATTGCTTTCCTTCACCTAGGGTGGTGAAGGGTGTGCTTCCTAAATGTGTACTGCTGCGATCTTTAGAGAGATCCCCGCGCATGGCTTCTTCCCTCGAAGCCACGCGGTCAATTAAGGCTATCCATTCGGAGTCGCTCCTTTTGGCATACCCGGACGATCTGTCAGTTGGGTCGCGTCCGTCAACAACGCCCACACGAAGAAGTTTAAGCAGTCCTTGAGAGGGGGGAACCATGCCCAACGTATCGTGGCGCAGCGCAAATAGTAAAGCCTCCTGCACGGATATTGGCCTGGCGAAGGATAAGAATGGTGAGTTCGGCAGACTTGACTGTGCCCAGCGCAGAAAAATGCGCTGATAGACAATTTCGCGGACTAGTGGCAGAATGCGAACGAGGAGCAGGCTGGTGTTGTACTGCGCAAGGAAACTGTCCTCATCAACTATCCCAACAAACGACAACCCATCGATAAGGTTCTGCACTGCAGTGCTGGTCTGGTAGCATATCTCCTTAGCAATCACGCTGACACTCGTCAAGACATGATCCTCAAGCTCCGGGGCAATCACAACATGTGAAGGGTTAGCACCCCCCGCGTCCACTCCGGTGGGATCATCTCCTATCCGTCCTCCGCAAGTCATGAGGTTCTGCCCCACTTCACTGCGAGAGAATGCTTTAGAATGTTCGGTATTAAACTGCTCAGTTGCACCTAACCAAGGCCCCGATGAATCTGCTAATTTTGGGGGGTCCCCCCGACTACCTGTCTTAACATGCTCCCCATGGGCCCTACCGTCTTTCACAAGATCTTTTTGTTCCTCGTTGGAGGCGATATCAGCTTGTATAGCAGGTGGAGACGGGGAAGCTGCCACATGCACTTCCTGGATGCTCAAGTCTCGACGAAATTTCTTGAACTCCAACATAATTTTGCTATCATCATCATCATCAGTACCGTCGTCTACAGATTCCTCTATATACGTCAGAAAACCATGGCCTTCAACTCTCTTTCGAGAAGATTCGGGTAACGCTGAGGTTGTTTCTACATCGTGGTCCACTGGCAAATGAGGTGGGGCGTCGGAATCGAGCTGAGGGAAAAAGGAAGCGGAATGCGTTGGGGGAGCGGAGTGGAAGTCGCTCGTAGGAGGCGCTTGGCTGGTACTCCCAGCCACCAAACCCGAATCCAACCCAGCAGTTGCGGTGCACCCCTCTCGCTTTGGTTCCACGTCCAGGGGAGATGACGTCGCCCCGCCGAAGTCAGGCCGCGCCGTAACACCTACGACTTCAGAAGAAGACCCCGTCGGGGGCTGTGTGGGCTGTGAGCGGAAAAAGGCATCCAGTGCGCCTTTTTGCGGCTCCACACGCACCACCGTGCAGGGTGCCACAGCCGTACCTCGAGGATCCGATACCCTCGCCGTAGCCACGGGCAGCGAGGACGTCGGTACCCCTACCCCACCTGAGCGCCTTCGGTCCATCGGCACATCCCTCTGGAGAGAGTGTAAGGCGGCCTGCGATGAGGACAACATGGTCGAACTGCTGGCTTCCTTGCCAGCGGCATCGGCAGCACGTGCAGTCGCCTGCAGCGCAAGAGTAGCGCTCTTTCCAAGCGACATCAAGTCCACTTGGCGCTCTGAGGCCGCCTCCAGCAACGCCACACGTATAAGCTCCGCAATCCGTCCAATCACAAGCTCCTCATCCAGCAGGTACACTTCCGTTTTCGTTGGATGCACGTTGACGTCAACACGATCTGGTGGAACGTTCACAAAAAGCACAGTGAAGGGTCGATTGCCGCCGGTCGGGATGGAGGCATAGACAGAGTCAATGACCCGCCGAATCGCAGCGCTTTCGACGAGCCGCTGATTAACAAACAGGCAAAAGTACCCCTTGCGAGAGATTAGATTGGTATCACTCGTGTAACCCATGATTGTAAAAACTCCCTCGCCCATAGGACCCGAGAGAGACGCTACGTACTCAGATACCTTGCGCACGCGTTCCATCGCCTGCTCCTTCTCTCGATACTTGCGGTCGTGGCTGGGCCCCATGGCTTCACTCGCCAGCATCGATGACGAGCTCACTGTTGCGCTGGAGGATATCCCTTCGTCGTGAACGTCGCCCACATCACCACCCTGTGGTTCCCGATTAGGAAACGACCCAGTGGACCGCTTCGAAGCCTCGTACAGCTCCTCATCGTAGTGAAAAATGAAACGCAAGTTAGATGAGACGCCGCTACCATGCGAGAGACGGATGTTATTCAACGTAGTGGAACCCCTCGGAAAGGACACGCCATCGCTCGCCCGTGATGGAGCCTCTTTCCGGCAAGAAAAGCCGATGGCGGGAAACGCTAGGGCGTACCGCGAGACGACGTCCACCAGGCGGCTCCACTCCTCCACCGGGCGCAAAGCGGCCCGGCGGATTGCCGTGTTGTAAAACATCTTTTCTGCGCGAATGGTGGTGCCGTGGTTTCCCGCGCACGGCTCGGGGCTCCCCGTGAGGCGGCCATCGATGTAACGACCCCTCCAGGCGAGAGAGGCGTCCCCTCGCGGCGCCCCCCTGCGCGGCCGCGTCGTCGCCGTCACGCGCGAAACAAACGACAGCGCCGCAAGGGCCTCGCCGCGGAAGCCAAAGGACGAGATGCGCTGTAGATCCTCAAACCGCCGCAGCTTGCTCGTCGCGTACCGCTCACAAAGCAGCGGAAGGTCCTCGTAGGGGATGCCGTGCCCGTCGTCGCTGACTTGTAGCACATCAAGGCCACCCTCCTGCGCGACGACTTGAATGCAGGTGCAACCGGCGTCCAGCGAGTTCTCAATGAGCTCCTTAAGGGCCGCACTGGGCCTCTGCACCACCTCGCCGGCGGCGATGCGGTTAATAACCTCGGTGGACAATCTTTGGATCCTCACATCATGAGGCATAATCGTGATCAGGTAAAGAATATGAGTCTTATACGGATCACTTTAAATACACCTTCAGTTTTCAGTTCTGTGGTGCTAGCATAATTTTCCTTCTTAATCCCTTACGTTATCCTTGTTTACTCATGAAATAATCCACTTTCGAACACTCCAGATATATATATATGCGTGGGAATTGCTACCTTCGGTTAAATGTCGAATTCGAAATGAAGATGAAAGAAAGAAGCGGAATCCAAATTAGAGGACCTACGTACAAGAAAGCAAACCCAATACATTGATAAACAGTCCGACAGATTTCTTCCATAATAAAGAAGAAAAGCAGGCATATAATCATTCTGAATATTAGTGATCAAAAGAAAAAAATTACAACTTAATAACTAAATTTTAAATCCTTTCTCAAATATAACGAAAAAAAATATCAATAAAACAGTTTTATAATGCAGAATATTAGAGAAAAAAGTATGGGCTTGGAAAGCATTCGTACTTGATCATGTGAACTATTGTTCAGTTAGCTTCAGCTACGCATTGCATAACTTATCATGAAAAAGTACATTGTGAAAATTATCAGTAATGAAAAGTAAAACTCCGAAGCTAAGGTAACACACCTTCACATACAATGGATCGAATGAAAAATAAAAAAAATATTAAAATATTAAAATGAAAGCCGAAGCAAATCAAGTTATAATTTATACTGTGATAACCTATACGAGTGAATACATATATCAATTGAGTTCAATAAAATATACTATGTGAGTGAAAATGGAAATAAATAATAACAATGAACTCGACGCTTTATTACCTCAAGCTATTTTGGAATGCCTTTGTCTTAGGATTAGAATCACCCTTCCCGATGCCTGCCTTAGGTCGGGTCAGAGCCGAAGGCGATGAGGATCTTGAAGTCGACGGCTTTCGCATCGGATCGGGGGTCGGCGCGCGAACGCTCAACAGATCTCTAGCGGGTAAGTGCCCAGGGCGTCCACGCCTGGGCGCATTTTTCGAAACCGATGATGAGGTATCATCATTATTCTTCAAGTCCGGAGAATTGGTATCGTCATTCTCGTTGTGAAAGATACGACGATACTTAATGAACAACCACACGTTGTATGATAGAAGTGCAGCGAAAATCAGGAACAAAAGGGCAATCCCAACGATACACAATATAACAATCTTTTTATCACCAGATTCTTTAAACAAATCCTCCCGTGTCTCAGAAGGTACAACTTTCTTGGTGTAATTAGAGGTGTCTTTTCTACCATCACGCTTGAAAGTCCAGAAATAATCTACTGGAAGCAAGGAGTTGTCTTCAGCTGGTAGAATCCATTTCGATAAATTGACGATGCCGCATGACTTGGGAGTGGATTCGTCTAATATCATACCGCCCTTTGGCCATAAATCCTCGAGGAACCACATCTTGCGGAAGTAGTCGTAACAACGAACGAAAGTGCAATCCGAAGGCAGCATGTCCGTGTCATTTACAGCGCAATTCTTAATAAAGGAATCCGCACCGTCCATACGAAAACCTGGTAAAAACGGCATTGTTCCTTTCCAAGTTATACTTTCTGACGGTATAGACTGCTTTTAGATTGATTGAGAGGTAGGACTGGCTTAGGTTGTGGTGCAAAGGCAAAGTGAACGCTTGAGTTACTAAAGCAAATGTATCACAGTGTATAGGCAATCTATGGGAGAAAAGATACCGACGTTGAAAGGAATCAATACTGCGTTCAGTCACTTACTTCTTCAAATTTTCTGTTGTGTCCAACCAAAACACAATAATACAAAATTAACAGAACAACAATAAAGATGCATTTCTTGCGCGGATGTTGACGTTTAGAAAAGGTGATGGAAAAATTTACCGCCACTCAGAGTGAAAAAAACGAAATCCCCTGATGTAAAAAAAAATCATAACAAGTATCTATATGCCTCCCCTCAAGGGGTGAGGATGATCTAAAACGAAGGCCGGAATGCCCAGACTTTGCATTCAAAGTGTTTCATCAACCAGGAGAATACTATCCCCCGCCATATCCTCGACTCCTAATCCCTTTTCATTGTCACCAATGCGGGGCAGGCAGAACCTGGGCACGCGATCCGCAACCGCTGCATGGCGCTTCTCCGTCATCATCTCCTGTCGCGCCATGCGACTCTCAAGCTTCATTAAGTTCTCTTCACTCTCTTCGAGCCGTAACTTCACCTGAGTTAGGCTTCCCTTAATCTCCAGCAGTTTTATTTCTAACTCCTTTCGGCGTTCCAGCTCATTGGTGGCAGCCTGAATATTTTCCTCACAGTTCTGCAAAGCAGTCTGCAAACGCTCCTCCTCCAACACAAATTGTTGAAGACGTTCATGCTGCAAGCGAATCTGGGTATCCTTGGCCCTTAACTTCTCATCCTGAATACTTTTTCGTTGGGCATAGCGAAGGCGCTCACCTCGGAGTTGCTCCTCACGAGAATTGTTTTCCAACTCAAGCGCATTTACACTCTGCTGAAGTTCCTGAAGAAGGGCACGACGTGCCTCAAGAACGCGTTCGCGCTCGGTGAGAAAGATGGAACGCGCTTGGTAGTCCCGAAAGGCATTGACATCAGTCATAAAGAAATGTAATGGTAAAAAAGGGTAATATCTATACCAAAATTTTGTAGCTTGAGTAGCTTATGATTTGAAGAAAATAAATGGATCAAAAAGAATAAACACTAAGAAAGAGGGGGAAAAAAATGACTCATCACACCATTATCAAGTATTGCCTAACTTTCACTATAAAAAAAGGGAAAAAAATGACATAGATTAATATGAATAAGCGTTCAAGAAGTTTTCGATAGACTGAAAGGAGAAGTAGATATTAATCTGTCGAAAAGATATACAGAAAAAGTACGCAACGATAAAATATCTGCTGGTCAAAGAAGTGATAAAAGTAATGAACTTTCGAAACGTACATGATAGATATACTTCTCGTGTGTATACTGTTCCGTAAATTTTCAGATAATCAAACTAATCTAAAACAAAACAGGTACCTTTTAAGCGTAAATATTTCGCCTTTGGAGAGATCTGCTGAGCGCCTCATAATATGACGTCGGCTTTCAAAACTAGACTCAGCACCGTTTCTTTGAATCCATTCAGGAAGCGGGCACCGATTCCAAGAGCGATTTCGAAAGCAGAACAGCGCACGCCACAAGTTGAAGGAGTACTACGACGCTTTCCGTGAGAATATAAACACCTCACGTCAGATTCGAAGTGTATGTGTGATAGGGGGAAGTAGGAAAGTCCACGTAAAGAGTAGACCAACCTAGAAGCAGAATAGTACATTTACCTACGAGATAAAGGCAATGCCATCCTTCTCCTTGAGGACATTAAAACTAAGGCACGCTAGCATATGTACGGCCCTACTACAAAAATGTGTAGCTGACAAGCCCACACCACGTCACGCGAACGCGCGTGACGTGTTTAGCCGACAGAAATATACAACGAAATCTGTCCATTAAGGAACATACCCAAACCGGGTTAAGCAGAGGAGGCTTTTTCTTAAGATAGTAATGTGACTAATAAACTACTAGCGCGTATAACAGCGCCTGCGACCAACGGAAAAGAAACATGGTCAAGTTTATGCCTACGGAATCAAATAATAGAGTAATGATTTTCAGAAATGCATTATTTTAGCTACATGGTATCCCTTTTGAAAGGAAAAAAAGCAAGGACGAAGCTACAATTGGAAATAGGCCGCGCTTGCTCTCTTCACTAATATCAATGGTGTTTCCTTTGGAAGTAGAATTACACAAAGCGATAAAAAGATATGTTTTTAATAACAACTCGGGCGATCTATGATAGCGAAATTTCAAATCTACATATTCCACCCGCAAACTCAGCAGAACCCCAGACGTAGCAGGCGTTTTGGAAAAAGTAACCCTTCCCAGTCGAGACACCGTTGCGAGGGAATGCAAACTAAAAAGCAATCACAATTAAGAGTTGCAATAACAAAATTGCTAAGAATGCATCAATAACACAATACACTATAGCAAAAAAGTAGCGTATTAATATTTGGAAATATATTTATGTGCAAGCGTAGATGTCAAGTATAAGAACGATTACCATACAAGCTATGTTTATTTTAAAAAATAAAAATATTTAGCGATGTATAATTCTTGCGTAAGAAAAACACTGCTCAAGGCCAATTATAGCATTTGTTTACAAGGCCTTGAAAACAAAGCAGTAGAGTTAATGTTGACATCGTGAGCGGAACACTCCCTGGTTCAGGTATCAGCGATTAAAGGCGTTTGAAAAATACCGCATGTTCAGAATACTTTTTTCTAGTGGGAATGAGTTGGGAGCGAAACAATCTAGCACCTTAAGTAGTCTCTTTCTTTTTTATCTCATCGAGTCTTCATAGCACAAATAAAGCGACGCAACCTGAAAAGCTACCTTATCATGGCTATCTCACCCTCTGAGAGGGGCTCTTCAAAATTATCGGACATTAAATACGCAAATCTATTAGAAATACGATTCACGCACCTCCTGAGCCAATCTTTGTTGTTGCTATGATACAGCAAATGAGGACTTTCTTCATCATGCTATTAATTTGGTTTAATGGGAATGCTCCATTGCTTCAGTCTATTTTGTTTCATAAATTCAAAGAAAGCTTCCGATAAGGATAAATGGAGATAGTAGGTAGGTACCTCAATTTCACACAAAAGCTTACGCTCATCGGGGTCATTGTATTTCCAACGAAAAAAAAGCATCAGGTTTGACTCAGCGAGTACAGACACGAGAAAAGTAGTCACAGTCAAACTGCTTCTTGTTTATATGAATGGTTCAGCTTCTAGGTCCACAATTGGTCCGCTACGCAAAGGCAAACTGGTTGGAAATGTATCAGGAAGCGTAACAATAAAGGACAGCTTTAAAACTTAGTTGGAGGCAAAGAAAGCCAAATGTGGACGTTTTCCATCAACCTATCCCTTCTTCAGTCACGAGACCGCTTTTTCTTTGAACCGGGAGATGTTAATCGAGGTCGCTTATTTGAATTTGATGTCTCTGTTTTGCCCTTTGAAGCTTTAGTGGTATGGATTGTTAACGTTGTGCCGCTGTCATTAGCCTCCTTTTGGTACCCCGATGTTACGCAGTTACGTGAGGAAGTAGGGCTCTGGGCTAAAAACGCACATCTCCACAATTTAGCTGTGCAAATTGTCCGCGTAAAGCCTTGACGCATCTGCCGTGCCACCCGCATTTGCGACTGCAAGCTCCTGCACAACTGCTGCCAATAGCGTAGGCTCTCGTCCAAACCAAGAGGTTGATCCACATCGGGGTCGAGGTAGACATGGAGGGTGGGCCTGAGCGGGGCACATTCCTTGCGGTACTCCATGTAGTACGGGTCGCTTCGCGGGATATAGCATGGGATCTGCGTGGCTGTCCTTCCCAGGGCGGTGGCGGTGTGGATCGCCCAACACTTGGCGGTGTGGAAAACATGGTAGCCGCCCCCGCCGAGCAGGGCGGTCGGACGGCCCAGCGAGAGGACATCCGCTACGCACTGCGTGTGGGCCAAGGTGGAGACGCAGAGCCGGCCGATGAGGTCGCCCGCGATTGTGTCCGCGCCGCACTGCACCACCACCGCCTCCGGGTCAAAGCAGGACACGGAGGCCGTCAGGGCGGTGCGGAAGGACAGGAGGTAGGCCGCATCCCCCGTGAGGGCGGGCAGGGGAACATTCACGGCGAAGCTCTGCGCAGTGTCGGCACCGCCGTAGCCACCAGAGCCCGGGAAAAAGCCGTCACCGAATTGATGCAGCGACAACGTCAGAACGCGGGGGTTGCCATAAAAAGCCCCCTCAACCCCATCTCCGTGATGGACATCGAGGTCAACGTATAAGACTCTCTGGAAGCGACGCAAAAGTCGGCGGATGCACAATACAGCATCATTTACAAAGCAAAAGCCGCTGGCATGCGCGGCCGCTGCATGGTGCATGCCCCCAGCCCAGTTCATAGCAATGCGCGCCTCACCCTGAATAAGTGCATCCGCACATGCCAGGGAAGCCCCAGCCTGACTCTCCACCAGCGACCACACCTCCGGGAACAAGGGACAGTCCCCTTTTAGAGACCCGACTGGAACGTCAAACTCCTTCTGGAAAGACAATGCGGTCGCATCGAAGGGATTCATGCAAATACTCGATGCGTGGCGAAGACACTCCAAATAAGCATGTCGATGAAACACACCCATCTCCTCGAGGCTGGCAGGACGTGCCTGAGCAATCGTCATCTCCTTATCTAATCCCAATGAGCGCACTAAGGCGTGCAGGGCACGCACTCGAGAAGGTCGCATGACGTGCCCCTCGGCATATGCAATAGCGGTCACAGTGTAGTCAACAAAATAAATAACCTCCTTTGACGGAGACGGGGATGATGCCGATAAGATAAAGGAAGCTGGTAAGGGCACACGCGGGTCCAGGCTGAAGGTGAGAAGGGATTCAGGAGAGTGCATACCACGTGCTGGAGGAACAACTATTAGGGGCTTGGATGTGTATTATGTAGTTGAATGACATATTCAAAAAAGGAGCGGAAATGATTGAGTGGATAATGACAAAAAGACTCTTCATATCTTTAATAGATATATATATATATATATATATATATTGGGTCCTCTTCAAGAAGTTTTTTTATAAATATTCAAAACAAAAATGCGAAATTCAAGCATCATTCTCTTCTGTTGCGCAAAGAACAGAACGCCAGAAACAAAAAAATCCATATTTATTATATAAAAATAATTCCGCAAGGTCGACATAAGCAAATGGAAGAACTTTGGCGTAGAACATGGAAAGGAATAGAAAGTAGAGTAGTAAATATTATTTTGAGTAACTTGTTCACGCGTTGCGGCGGCCTGTGGTGCCTAGCTGAATGCCGGCCACTGTTTCCTGGTATTCCACCGGTATTGCCACACGTGGCGGTTGCGACGACTGGTTTGTGGCAAGCTTAAACCACTCGTCGTCGTTGAGTCGCGGATAGCTCTCAAACATGGAGTGCACCTCACGAGAATCGCATCGATGTGCGCTCGCCATCTTTCGGGTTCCACGCCAACCGCAACTAGAACAGAGCACCGGCACCTTCAACGTCTCTTGAACGATATACTCGCCCGGTGGCTGCATGGCGAGAATCCTAGTATTACAAATATGACAACGAGTAATGCTTGCTGGTACACAATGCATGCAAAAAATGTGCCCGCAGTTAAGCTGAATCGGATCACTCCAGGTATCAAAACAAACCTGGCATTCCAAATGCGCTGCAACATGCACTGCCGTACATGCGTTTTTGGGCATTGTTGTATCAATGTGTTTTTATAGTGATATGTTTTATATCCCCTCCTGTACGAAGCAAATTAATAATAAATCAAAAAGAACAGGAAGCGCACAAAAAAGAAACTGGAAAGAAAAAATGTACTAAAAAGATGACTAATAATACTAATAGAAAAGATACTTGAAGGGAGAAGAGCGACCTATTCACTTGTTTCAATAAGAGATGCAAAAGGAGAAATAAATCGGTAAAACTCAACAATTTCCAAAAAAAAATACTTCATTCATCAAGCGAGTACGGATTTCGTAAGATTTCTTCTCAGGTGCACCTTTTGCCTTGAATCTATCATCTAAAGTTGAACTTAGGAATCCTTACAAGATGAAAAGCTGCACATTCATTGAGAATACGCCATTTTCTTCATAAATTTTGCAGCGTCATAACGATGTCCGTAGTTGTTGCATGAGTTGTGTTCGTCACGCTTCTCTCAAACAAAAAAAAAATTACTGAAAAAAAACATTAAAATCGAATATTATACGCACCTTAAATGAAATGTGCTCACAATATCTGTAAACTCAAAATGTCAAAGCAATGCTAAACTAGGATTGCCCCTTTAGGGCTTGGTCATATTGAAATTCGACCTTGGTAATATCCTAACCTCGAATACAATACGATAATCTATATTAAATATCCAATTTTCCGTTGGAAACATTTTCTCACATACTGCACACCAGTACTTATATGATTAAGAACGCAGATAAGGACTTGGCTGAAAAACTCCACCTACGGAGGTTCATGGAGTTAATGAAATGAAATTAAAGACCATAATTTGGGAAGAAATGTATTAGTGTATAATCATACACAAATGGAGGAGATATAGTTTGAAATCGTTTTAGGCCCTCCATCTTTTCGGGAAATAACTTTGCAAGAATAAAAAAAGTAAAGAACTATATATATCTATATACACATGTATTCAACGACTAATATCTTGCTTCCCATGTGAGCGGTATCGACCACTCTGCGTCGCTTTATTGCTATATATGTATGCATTCATGTATCAAAGTGTTTTTGTTATGCAAAGCGCAGAAGTTTTATTGACTTGAAATCCCCAAGTGAACCAGGGTCAAAGCATATGAACATGCTTCCCCAGAACAATGCAAGCTTTTGTTCCTCCGTTTGTTTCGTTGTCGGAACCACCTTAATGGTTATTTGATGAGGCAGGAGCATACCAACCAACACAAGAGTGCTCAGCTTTCGTATCAGAACCTTGTCATCCTCGAAGATCCTTTCGGTGTGGTTCCAAAAAGCATTGAAGTCACTGTAAGCCTGTTCGCCATCAGAGCTATCGTTACTCTGAGAAAAAAAAGCAAGACTATCCACAATTGGGATAGCTGCGGCCACGACAGTTACTAGATCCTGAATCATGAAGGGCATGTAGATGCTATCTCTCAAGGGTCTCGATTTTATGTAAGCCTCTCTTACGCGCCCGATAAGGTTGCGATAGCTAAGCAAGGAAGCGATCACATAACGAGACCCCTCCTCATGATATCGAAACAAACAAGAAATCGCCTCACATGTGGCGGTCATAGCCGTCTCGTATATTACAAGCTTTTCAGACGAATTAGCGGCTTTGTACTCTAAGCACTGATGAGCCACATAAGCAAACGCAGCCACAAGGCACTTCGAGGCGATCTTGCCAAGACTAATAATGAAGGGAGCCATGTTTGCCAATACTGTGCTGCAAGAGATAAGATGGGGGCCAAGAGATGTCTCCAAAAATCCCATGAAGAAACTCAGAGCCGTCACAAGGAAATCGTTAAACGTAGACCCTGAAGGCATCTTAGGAAAAGGGACTGGCATGGACGTAGACATGGAAAGGGTTTGATTACATAGCAGCGTGAAACCCCGATTTTGCGACAAATGCAACAAAATGTTGAGAGAAATTTGTGCTTGACCTGAGTAGTAAGTACTTTTATATGCCTGCATGCCGTACTCCACAATTGGTACCAAGTAAGGTATCACCCCTGGATTGAGTGAAAATTGACTGGACACTGATGGTGAAATATCTAAAAGCTTGGACAATAAAAACATAAGCCCATCTTGTGGAATTGTAGCTAACCGAGAGCTTGGCAGAACTATCTGTCTGGCGTGAAGACTAGGTACCACCGTATTTTTGAGCCTGTCTAGAATTAGTTTAGCTTCGGACATCGTGAGGTCATGAACGACCTTGCGAATAGAGTGTACAAAGCATATCCGTACAATGCTTTGAGACACATTACCGACTGTGTCATCGCGAGAACTTCGTCTTTGAGAGTTGTTGGAAATAGGTTCATTTCTTGCGATTGGTGGGGTTCCGTCTGGAGGATGATGAGGCGGCATATGTTCTGAAGATGTGGAAGACGCAACGGGCGAATGCAAGACCAGCTTACCTAGACCCCCTGATTCAGAAATATTATCTTGTTTTCCAGAAAGGGATAAAACGAGTGTATCCTCCTGAACTTTGTCTGCCACTTGTGCATTCGGTTGAGAGTTTGTCGAGACGAAGTGACTCCTGTTATGCTCTTCAAACTCCTTAGCGTCGGTTAATGGCCGAGAAGCCAACACTTCATCTTTCTTCGTCGACAGCCTGTCGCTGGACTCATTTGGTAAGGTATCTATGGGGATACCACTGTAGTACAAGATGGCTGAAAGAAAACGCGAGCTTATAATGACGACCTCTCTTTCGTCAATCGACAATTTGGTTGCGTATGGAAAGTGGCTGTGGGGTTTGTAAGTCAAGATGGAGTTCAGCATTGAGACTGCGAGGGTAGGCATCAAAGGAACTACGGAAATCGAGATAAGTGATTCCGTAAAAATGGTGTCTCGATAACCCACCGGAAAAAAAAGTGGAGAGGAAACCAGAACGAGTAATGTTTCAAGAAGCTCCCTTCGAGCTGTGTGTACCTCACTTGGCGTTGATGCCAAAGGAGCTTCAGAAGGATTGGCGCAACCAATCCCAGGATACCAAAGCAAACTCACATCAACCTCTGAATGTACTAGGCTATATAGTGGAGTATTGGTGAAGTTAGTTTCTTTAAGGAGTGTGAGACCTTGAATAAAGCAGGACTCCACGAGAACCCAAGCAAGATAAGGCCCTAGTGTCTTTGGGGCTTCATGCGCCTCTTGAAGTGGGAGAAGAGGAAAACGGGAATCCGTTTCGCTGTCGTTGCATTTGCTTCCCTCTATGAAAAAAAGCTTCTGAAAATGAAAGGTTGATCGTGTCTTCATTCTATTTTGTTGCTGAGAACAAGAATTTGCGCCTGATGAAATGGGCTCCGATGATTGTGACGATACGTACTCTTGGTCCTCTTCTAGAGTGCTTGGTTCACAATTGCCTGAATGTGACAATGCTACCTCTGAAGCCCCTCCCTTTTGGGAAGGAATTGATGTTGTAGTGGCGCTTTGTCTGTTCGCATCCTTGTCGATTTCAGTAGCCCCATCCTCAAAGGCAATCGGAAGAAGTCGGCGCAGAATTTGAAGTGCTGTCAAAAATCGACAAACTTCCTCAGCTTTGAAAGATGAAACGGATGATTTCTTCCCTTCTCTCATAGAAGAGATTTCCTTTATACAGCAATAGAACAATAAGGCAAATCGCTCTGTATGAAAATGACGAAGCTCACGGATAAATTCATTCGATAACACACGCGTTAAATCCTTCTTAGTAAAGGATAAATTGAATACGCTTTCAGCATCTTCCATGCGGAAAGAATCATTACTCAGAGCCGAACGAAATGAGTCAAAAGCATTGACAGCAGAAGCTGAGTTACCCATTAAATATATGGATGTAATTTAGGTTATTGAACTTACTACTCTAATCGACAGATTAGCCAATAGCCAGACTTTGAGTATCAAGGTTAGGAAAGTAAAAGTAGAGGGAACAAAAACGCAATAATGCATATATGCGCATAGATCTAAGCAAAGAAAAAAACTATAGGCACCCCTATAGAGCGATTAGAAAAAAGAAGAATGTTCCTTGGCAATCAGAGAAAAGAAAGGCAATGTATAGCTGAGTGTTGCATATGCACACATGTGGCTCTCCTGTTCCCAGGTTTATTACTGCGGCGTCTGAAAATTTTCCAATCCTATTTCTTACAGCCACACGAAGCAAAGTACATGGCGGCTATTACAACTTCGTATTAACTAAACATGTGAATGTAAGTATTTAAAAATGATAACGTGCACAATCGCATCAATTAATATACATTTGAAATTTAGAAAATCCATTCATTGATCAAAAATGGTTTGTACATTTCTTTCTGTCTCGAAAGAGTCGCGATCCTTCGCTTTTCCATCAACACCCTCACAAATTTTCTGGCGTGATACATCCGCCATAATCGTTGGATGCTGATGGCAGCAGCGTAGAAACGGCTCTGTATTACTTCTTTCACTTTATGCTCATCAGAATGGTCGACTACGCGAGTGTTTACTCGTCTATTGCTTGTGCGAGAACGAGAAGAATCAGAAACACGGTAACGCATACGATATCTTCGAAAGCATCGTTGGATGACTATACAACTCCGCTCCAGTAAAGCCGCACGGTACCTATTGCGGCCACTACACCGTTTCGCATAAACCTGTTTGCCGTATTTCTTTCTCACCAACATTCCCCGTACTCTACTTTGAATGAGTGTAGCGTAGTAGTGGCGGGAGTCGTGCAGGTGATGAAGGATAGCGTAGTGGTGACGGCCTAGACACCACCACAGAGTCAGTCGGGTTGAATGACCTCGATACACGCGCTGGATTTGAGTCGCTGCGAAGTGCAAAGAAGCAAGCTTCTGAGACGCGGAAGTCTCGATTTGCCTCTTCTTGAGAAGCTCTGGATACATATATCGTGCCTTTCTTCCTCGAAACAAACTCTGTATGCAGATGACACCATGAATAATGCGTTTCTTCTGTAATTCCAATTCCTTCCGCTTCTGAATGGCGATCCAACGACGCGCATAGCATTGCAAGATGATCGCAGCCTCATTTTCCTTCGATCTTCTATACCATTCCCCGCTCTTAGAGTGGGGTCGCTGCTTTGCATGCAGAATTCGCCTAAAAAAAGTTGTCAGAATCCGCGCACTTCGCTCTCTTCGTAATGCCTGAATGCGCTGACTAGCGAATAGTTCAGTCTTTAGTTTAAGTAGTTCCTGCGGCACATAGAAAGCCATCAACGCCTTCCTAATCATCTCAGTAGCAGACCATTGGTCCTCAAAGGCTCTTTCACATTTGATCAATGCATTAAGCCGCTTATCAAGGAGCTTTACGGCTGCACTGAGTTGCGAGCAAGATTTTTCAATCGCAGACGACGATGGCGGTGGCGGCGGCGTCAGTTTAGAGAACACCTTTGTAGTATGCAAATCTATCGACTTACTTGGGATATCGACGTGTTCATGATTCACAAACTGATCCGACGTTCGACTCCTAAGTACCCATACCGAATTCGATCGTCGAATGCCTTGCAACAACATTTTTTCCTGTTCAATAGCGCGTTGAACAGGGGTCTCAGTGCATACTAAAACACTCACTACACGCGCTTCAGGTGGTATGCACTCGCAAAGAGGTGAAACAAAATCATCCACGCAAGGGTCGATCCCTGCCTCGAGGCCGGGGCAGAGGGTATGAAAAAGAGCCTTGACACTTAAAAGCTCTAGAATGGTTGTGGACAAGCCATCACGCCTAATGGAGGAGCGCAGGTCTGCATTAATTGCCGGAGCGCCAATGGTTATCAAGCTCTTGTCAATTTTGGTTGTGGTACGTTTCCTTCGTCTCAAGCCTACTCGGGGTCCTGATGCAGCCTTCCGTCGCCTCCGCGAAGCAATTTCAGGTCTACTCTCCAGCTCCTGAAACAGCTTCTGTTGAGTTTCTTGAATGTAGATAAGTAACTTATCTTTTGAAGAAATAATGAATCTCAATGCGTCAGCCACATCATCAAACTGTGGGATGCCGGCAATGAGAGACTCTAAGATCTGAATCGCAACAGTATACCACTCCTTCGCCTCCTCGCAACACAGAAACTCTTGCGTGATCGCCATGGCATAGCAAGTCAACCCTTTCAAAAGCGTTACCTCATAAGACTGCCCGCTCACAAGCAAATCCTGAGCTTCAGGTATGGCTAGACGTCCGGATGGAAGAAGGGATTCAGTATTGCAAGAAAGTCCAAGTACCTGGTGTATCAACTGCTCGGCCTCCGGAAAATTACACAACATATGTTGATGTGCGCATTCATTGATTACGGCAACTAGATTCAAGTTAATATCATCTAATAAAGTGGCACTGCTCCTCACCATCTCATAAACGATTGGACATAGCCGGAAAAGAGAATAGCCTAGCGCTGTACTACTAGACCGTATTTCACAACAAGCCCAATTGTTTAATGTAATGTATAATAGCACTAGAATTTCCACTCTGCATCCTTCAAGCTTACCCTCTTTAATGCTGTCTGCGATAAATTCTACGGTCTCAAAGTTGAAATGATCCTTGTGGGGTTCAAAGCCCAGCGTACTGAGTAGCAAATCCAACGCGATGTGCGTATAATCACGTACACATTCGATTTGTTGCTTTGCCTGAAGAGCAAAAGCGTTGCAATGAAGCACGTGGTCAACAAGGTAGACTAAATCGTCGTTTTCGACCAGACGATCTAATATAAAAATAGTGTACGCTTTCAGAGCAAGCAATGGGTTTGGATTCGAGCCTGCCAATGACTTTATTCGATCAATCGATAATCTATCAGACATCCCTTATTTTCGAATTCCCTTTGCTTTTTACCTCCTACATATTAACAACCCCACGCACAGAGAGAGAGAGAGAGCAAAGTCCCTCCTTGTGATAACGACATATAATGGAGCGCAAAAGCAAAATGGAAAAAAAAGGGATTTTCTCATACTGTATTTTAAAAAGATTCACATTAAAGTAAAACCTGACAAAACATGCCGAGAAGAAACACACTGTTCTCCATAAAAATACAGCGTTACCTGTGTTTCATCGCAGAGTTCCTTGTTTTCCCGCTCGCCAAATTCAAAATTTTGCTCTTTATGCTTTCTGCGTGTGTGTCTGTATGGTGATGTGGTGATCGCAGCATATCGCTTTGGTAGCATTTATCTCAATCATCATTTCGTATAATCAGAAGCTTTTTCCTCCGTTGAGTCTTCTGGGGCGAGTTTTTGCGCTCTGTATGATTGTCAACCACATGTTCGACATTGATGTTATTTCTCAAAACGGTCTCACTGTCTTCTGGGAACTTCTCTCGATGCGTTGCGACCGCACACCATTTTAGGAAGGTAAAGATATCAGCAAAATGATCAGTGTGAAGCACCCATTGATCCGTAATTTCGATAAAGTGATCCATCTCACTGGATGGCGCGTAAGGGGTTCGGAAGCAAATAATAATTTTAGCAGTGTGGCCGAAGAAAATGACATCATCAACCGTGAGTGCACCATAGCGAATGCCCACAACACCAAAGGCTATCTTACGGGTCCCAAGACGAGAAATCTCACGATAAAGCATACGACCCGTATGCCAACTATCAACTTTCACAAAGACCCCGATGTGGATGCACTGGTGCAAATACTTTTCGTACTCCTCTTGAGAATATATCGTTTGTGTCAGCTGAAGACTCTGCCATTGAGCATTCAAAATATCTTCACCAGTTTTGTTGAACACAACCTGCTCTGTTCGTTTTGCCTCAAGCAAGTTCGTGCAGCTTACACCTTTAGCCTCATCTGCGTTATTTACCTCAAGCAAATATTCCGCCACAGTCTTTTCCTTCGGCAAAGCACCAGCTGTATTTTCCGGGGTCTTCGTAAGCATTCCGTATACCACCTGAGCCTCCAAGCATTCCGTAGCCTGAAGCTGGCCATAGTCACCCAAATGCGCGAATGAAACGTTCATCCCGCGTGGTCTTAGAAGATGCAGTTTTGATGTAAAGCACTCCACAAACCACTGTAGCATTTGCCGGTAGGCATGAATTCGAAGCCGCCCCGCTTCATCAGTGATGGAGAGCACGTGAATCCCAACCCCAGGCAGGCCGCTGTTGCTATTGACGTCGACGATTGTAACCGCCATCCCCGGGATCGCTCGTTCGATGGAATTCCCCCAATAGTCCATCATGTAATCGACGCGACCCTCTGCTTGATCGGCAACAAAATTCATACCTCGTGTCATGACACCCTCAGTCACAATGACGGCCAGCACGAGGACATTGGTGCTCGTTCGATTGAATTTACTCAACTGACGAAAAAGAGAGTTGCGTACCACATTCAGGCGAGCCGCGGGCCCTTTGCGCTGAATTTCTTTCAAATACCTGTCCTTTCTCGCATCCAGACGGCACTGAATACGCTGCTTGAAACGATTTCGGCGGAACCCTTCCTCGTCAAACAAGTGCTTGGAAGATTCAACGACGAGGGCTTGCACAGCACAGTTGTGCTCCTTGTAGCCTAAGGAATTACTATGACAAACAGGCGCTACCTCTTCCTTGCATTTGTGCAAAAGAGACCAAAGGAGCCGCATATTGACCATTTTCTTGGCTGATATACACACCCCTAGACATTTCCTTCGGAGGTTTAGTTTTGGCTTGATGATACTTCCTTTGTAGCAAGGATCGATTTTCTTCATGGGAAGAAAATAGTTTTCTCTCTGATATCCATCAACAACGATGGACTCCGTTTGTTGGGTAAAAGGCTTGCATAAATCCTCCAAACCACGCTCGGTGTGAACCAAATCCACATCAATGCCGATTTCTCGTAATTCGACAAGAATTCGATGGACCTTACTCTCTGCCATAATCGCATCGGATAAAAGATCCAGTTTATTGATTACCACAATTATTGGCTTATCAACATTTAGTGCAACCTTAATTACTTCATGTGTCTGGCTTCCAATCCCCTCAACGACGGAAACTACCAAAACAATGTAATCTGCAACTACATGAGAGTGGAATCTCATTTCAGCAAATATTTTATGCCCTGGTGTGTCAATGAAAGTGAATAAGTCACCGGATTCCAAATAAGGAATGGTAAACACCCTTATAGACTGCGTGATTCCATGTGGCTCGTCGTTAGCAACGCTGGAATGCTGGAGAGCATCAAGAAGAGTTGTTTTACCGTGGTTAATATGACCCATGATAGAGAAAATGGGTATGCGTTTCTTCATTATTGTAGAAACGCGCTTCAGATAGTTGATACCAGTAGACTTATAAACATCTATGTCCTCCCACTGAATCCACCGATTCGATTTTGTAGGCTTCCCTTCCAATATATCATTCTCCTGAGATTTCAACTCATCAATACACTTTTCCCTTATCTCATTTGGTAGCCTTCGAAGTATGATATTGACAGCATATTGGTATGGGACGAGGCAAGTTACAAGCTGTTTACTCTTAAGCTCATATTTCTCGTTAATAATATACTCTACCTCATTTCGTCTCAACGACTTTAGAGGAGCAGCAGCCAGCTCAGCCTTTTCCCTTATTATTTGCTCAAACGCATGCGAATGAGAATGGGGAGAAGACTGACGATATTTATCAGCTAGGTATTTTTCTAAAACTTTCCCTTGTGTATTCACCAGACGTGTAAAGGATTTTGCATCCAGAACAGATGGTAGGCGGAACAACGGGGTCTGCAATGCGGAGGAAAGCAATTCGATGCAGCAACGATGCATCACATATTTTTATGTGTCTTTTCCCTTTGTGTTTATGAAGAGGAAGGGGGGGGGGAAATTGCACACTGGTAACCACTTGCCTTAAAAGGGGAGTAAAAATATGCATCACACAAAACAAAAAGAAACAATTTCAAATACTAAATAATCCAACTGAGTGAATTCACTTTTCCCATTCACAAAAAAACGTTTTGCTGAGCTTAGACAAAGTCGCAAAATATACCAGACCTAATGTAATGATAATAAGTATAATAATAATAATAGAAAATATCCTATATACTCTAAGCTATGCTTTGAAAAAATAAGCAAGCGCGAAGTACGACATCAGCGCATAAAATGAGAGAGAAAAAATGCCTATGTCTACCCAAATTGTATAATACATTTTTTCGCGTGTCATTACGTACGAAGGATGAGTGTAAAATACGCTCTTGTGTTCTCCTCGAACTATTTTATCCGCCAAAATAGCGCAGGGCTTCTCAGACTGAAGCATAGCTGTTCTTTTCTGCACAAACATGTGCCGAAATGGAATACGGGCAGAGAGTTTTGCGTGACGAAGCATTTTTGCGAAGCTTAATTTTGAAGCTAGAAACTATAAAGGAAATGAGGAAAAATAAACAATTTAACCCTGCAAAATAATAATAATAATATACATGAATTGATTATTTAAAAAAAAAAGCCGATCCAATAGGAATGAGAAATTTTCGATATGCAATCACTTGAAATCTAACACAAATTGTGACTCGCCTTCCTTAGAGTAGGTGCCAGACACACGCACTTCAGCTCCTTCAGAAAGGGTATGAACACAACCCTTAATTAAGCCTACAGTGTACATTAGAACGCAACGGTGCCTCATATTATCATCCCCCCTTTGGAGTGAAAATCCTAACTCGTTGCTTCCCTCAGAATCTACAATAGCTGTCGTGTATATACGATCTACCTCTGACAATTTGGAATATCCTAGAAGCCATTTGAAGTTGCTATCTGAAAGATAAAAAATTTTGTCAACCATTTTGACGGAACCAACTTTTTTCCCAAAAACAGCCTTCCATAAACTAAGACCAACAAAGCGTGCAATATCAAGTGGCATCCCTCCGAACAAGGGTTCCCGGTATAAAAGTCGTTCAGTTAACTTCAAGCCAACGAGTACGCCTTGATTCTCAAGGGATGTCAGAGTACTAAAGTTCATTAAAGTTGGTAAACGCTTTGTAATCGATGCGTCAGGCTTCACATTTTTAGCTCTCTCGCTAAAATAACCAACTATTTCAGTTGTGAGAAAAGACGACACGCTCTCGTTAACAAGCATTTAAATATCGATGTGCCTATATATTTGTATTGTCGACAAATAGAAGCCTTAGAATATAATCGTATAAAAAAGAAAAAAATGAGTGATTTTCTATTTTTTTTATTTCATTAGACAGTTGTTTGATACTGTAATTGTGTAGAAACATTGATGAAGTGAGTCGACTGCGTTAATGTTTACATCATTATTCGTTTGCTTGCGCAGAAATTTCTGAAAGACAAACAGGACACGAACTATCTACAACGCCATCGTCTCGAACATAGGGAAGTATTGCTTCCTTTAATCTTGGAAGCACATCTAATCCCTCGACAATTCGGGCAAATACGATATGATAACTGTTCAGGTAACTAATCTCATTAACATCATCAGTTAAGCAGATAAAAAATTGAGATCCGTCAAATGAATTGACGGACCTGCAGAGAGAAAGTACACCTACTTGATGAGGTACTCGACCAATTTCAGCTTCGAGATCAGTTATAGGGACTACTTTTGGTGGTGGTGTGACTTCGCCAGTTTGTATACCTGTACTTGTAAAGCGTTTTATGGGAGAGTTTTTATACAAATATTGTTTATTTTTTGTCTTTTCAGTGGTATTATGAAATGTACAATACTGTGTGAACAATTCACAAGCTTTTGGTGCCTCAACATTGCAGAGCTCAATAACCAGAAGGCCAATTAATTCCGAACCTGAAAAAAAATTTAAGATAAAGTTCCGCGTACCTTGTTCCACCCTAGGAGCGAGAATAGGTTTCACCTTGGCTACCTGTTTCTTCATTGGAATATCGAGCCTATCTCAAATTTTAAAAAAAGTGTCTTGCCTATAAGGGATACAAAAACAATAAATAAAACAATTTATATATTTTTTTAGAAACTAGCAACTCCTCTATTATGCATTAAGAAATAATAAAATTACACATATATGTAATTATTTTTTTTTATTTTAAAAAATACCTGTACATTGAGAATATCAAGAATAAGGCAAACATTCACCAGGTATCAGTACATTAGTGGATTTTCTAGCGGATGATTTATTTCACAATCTCGAGTCAATTGTGGAAATACACATAAGTTATCTACAAACTCACCTAAAGTTAAAAATAAATTACTCCTTTTGTACATTTCAAGTGAATTTATGCTTGGATACAGCTTTGGAAAATTTACTCTGGCAATATCAGAAAAACTAGCTTTCTGATTTGCACCTTGTTCGATACATTTGGCACCTAACTCTAATAAATTAAAGAAATCAGTTAAGACGGAATCAGAAATTTCCTCGTCTGATTTTTCTAGAACATGGTCCTCTTCTAGTGCCCTGGGAGGTACTTTATCTATCTGCACCCAGTCTTTTACTCCTATCTTGGTAGTGTCATCATCGAAAAAAAGAACAAAATTTTTACTTGTCAGATTTTTCGCCGATCTCAAGTTAGTTAAATACGAATAAATGTTGTGGTCAGGACCCTGTATTAATTGAATAATATACTTTCCGTAGTCGATGACAAGCCCGGCCGCGTGAGAAGATTCAGAATCCTTTATAAAAGGATTAACCGCATCAGCCTTCATGAAGGATTCATCCAAGAGAGTTTTTAGCGCTGTGGAAATTGATTCTTCCTCATTTTTTTCACCACAAAGAAAAATCGTTGCTAAAAATGGGTTCCCTGGGTTGGATGCACTTCCAAATTTCTGTACTATTACATCATGGAGGGACTTTTGTGTTTTATGAGTCACTTGTGCGCTCTTTTCTACAGGTTGTGTGTTAGTTTCCTGCATTTTCACTTTTAGTAGTAGTGAGGCTCAATCAAACCAAAAATAATATTTAGAAAAAAACAGAGGAAAGACAAAAAATATATAGGCATGAAGGTAATATTACAATCATAAAATCTTTAGCTCTCTTTAGCAGAGAAACCATGTATCCGTTTCTCTGAATAAAGTCGATCCTTTATAGATGTATCATAACCTCTAAAATAAAAATATAAAATAATAAGAATAATAAGAATACGAATAATAATGAATTTGATATTAACTGAAATAAAACAGAATAAAAATATTCTGAAATACAACGAAAATAAAATAAAATAAAGTACACCGAAATAAAATAAAATAGGGTAGAAAAAAATATGATATAAACAGGGTAATAAATAAATAATAGCAGAAAAATAAATTCACATAACAATAGAATAAAATTATGACGTGGTAAAATTATACAAAAATAAAATTAATCAAAATTGATACATCTGACAAAATCGAAAATTTCACCACTTTCTCAGTAGCACTAATGACACTCGAGTCGTAGGGCTATACACGAAAAAACTAGGATTACTAATCATGCAACTGGTTAGCAATTTAGAAAATCAGGCGTTACTGCACAGGACTTTGTGGACCTGAATTTGAGAAATATATTTGTGTATATATTTGAAATTCAGTGATATCGAGTGCCCTGTAAATCAAAGCACCGTTCCTCCGAATTTAGAGAAATTATTTCCCGTAGCTGAAGCACCGCTTCTATATAAGAACTGGAGCAACAAATGTAAATAATTTATAAATACCACGTATCACGAGAGTTTTGTTCATTTTGAAGTAAAAGAGAAAATGTATTCAGCCCCCAGCGACACTTTTTAAATTTAGTACATCGTAGTACTACCCGATAATGTCGCATTGCTATTTGTTAGCGATTGTGTTTTCAGAACCCCCCCCCCCCCCCCCCAAACCGCAATAACGATAAATCCCCACAAACTATATAAAAGGGTCACCCTCTGTTCGTTGCTTTGGAGAAGCCTAAATATAGGAAGGCGCAACGCGTCAGTTCCTAAAATCTTATTAAGACAACTGACCCGATCAACGACTAAATGGATTAATACAATTTCCCATCCGCTTCACGCAACTACCCCCATGATTTTATATGACAACTTTCCGCTTTGCTTCTTATCTATTTGATGTGCCACAGGCTGAGCTATTTTAGCGCCAAGAAGCCATCCGCAGGGCACCGGCAAATGGGGTAAAGGGCCGGCCAGCCAATTCCTGAATTTCGTTATCAATAAAACCTTTCCCCACAGATTCTACCACTGATGCGCGGCGGATAAGGTAAATAATTTCCGATGGAAAGGATCAATAAAATGTTGTGGCAACAAGAGTTGCTAAATTTTTTCCGATTTAGCTTAATCAAGATTATTTCCCGATGCCGCAGCCATCCCTGGGCATGCGTAAGCCCTAAGCGGCAAAAAAAAAAGTTTCAGGTAAAAGTAAGACGGTATCGCGGCATCTTGGTCAGCAGATCGCAAGAGATCTAAGATCAAATATGGCCCTGATGCGCCATTTTCGGTTAAGCCATAGGAAAGAATGTTCTAAAAAATGGAGTTAAAGATTATTACAACGATATATGCTTTGCTCCCCCTAACCCCCCCGCCCCCGCTGCACTTCATGAAGTCCGAAAAGCTATATCTCTCGAAGATTGACATCGGCCTTGCGCAGGGAGAATGCTAATCTTGTCTGTTGAAGTTCCAGGTTGTGGATGTCCCCCGAAGGGGCTCCACCACCGCTTTTTCGAATTCCAGTTGAGTTTCAAAAAAAAGTATCTCTAGATTAAAATAATTTAGACGATTTGTTTTTTTCATAGTTGATCTAGGGCTCCCATAGTGTAGCGGTTATCACCTCGGACTCTGAATCCGATAACCCTGGTTCGAGTCCAGGTGGGAGTGTTTTTTTTTCGCGCCTGGAGATCCGTAAAGTGTAAAAAGGGCCGCTACGGGAATTGAACCCGTGACCTCCCGCACCCGAAGCGGGAATCATACCACTAGACCAAGCGGCCGAATGTGCCGTGCATCTGATGGCTACACCTCCCTCCCGCAGACATCGTTCATCCCCCGGCCGCTTCGAGCTCTTGGCCTGTAAGCTTGTTGCAAACTCAAAGAAAAAAGGGAGTAAGAGCCATAAAGATTCTAGAAACTGTTTTATCACCTCAACTAATTCAATGTAGCATTCACCTTCAGTTTTTTTTTAACTTGAAAAGTCAGTGAGACGTTAATCTAGCATTAGTCTTTCTCATTCAAAACTCGCTCTACGATAATTGAGGTACTTCCCTGGACTTTGCCCACAAAGGGATGTCCTCTCCTTCATTCGCGAGGCACTCCCCGGTTATGGTTGCACACTCCATAAAATGAGCCTCCGCGTCTGGTCTAAATAGATTGAGAAGAATTGAACCGGAAACGGTCACGTTGTGAGAGTCAACGATGGCGTTGGGAAGCGGAAGTGTCAGCAACTGGTATGGCGAAGTCCACACACCATTGTCCAGCCCACGTAGGCCCTCAGACTCGGAGCCAAGGATCAACATGGGCCCTATAGTACCCGCTGGGGTGGATGACGCCGCAGTGCCATCACGCGCACGCTGCCTCTGTCGAGCATTGTGTGTGTGAAACTGTTTAGCAACGTCAAACGCTTGTTGTACCTCTTGTGAAGGCACCGCAAGGAGGGGTAAAAGGTGGTGTTGCAGAGCGATATTATTCAAGAACGAAACACATGAAGTGGTGTCAGCCATTTCGAAGAGTTGCAGACGGGGTGAATAGGCTGCGCCCTCGCTCGCGCGGACGACCTTTTCCTGGAATGGGTCGACGCAGTTAACTAGAAGCACGCTGTCATAGCTGAGATCCACCGCGGCACGCAAGAGCATGCCAACGTTACTGGGAATCCGCAGCCCCACGAGCACGAGCATAGAGCGGATAAGCTTGGTGCCTCTTTCATCACACGGCATTGACGCAGTGGTGCTACGCTCCGTCGCTGTAAAGCCCTCACCAGCCGTGTCGTCTGAGGCGAAAAGTGCGACTGCAGGACTTAGCTGCGAGGGATACCACGGGAACTCCGCCGCATATCCGTCACTGTATTCAGCACTGAGCAGGTGCTTCTTTACCTCCACAGGAGGACAACGAACAATGAAGGACGGCAAGCTCTCTTCCAGACACCAGGGCAACACCGCAGGCTCTGTGTTGGGCACATAGACTACGTTTGGCTGAATGCCGTAATCCCGCCAGATGCGGCGGATCGCTTTCGCACCACCCACAACACAAACACCCTGTGAGCGCCGAGCGTGCTTGTTGCTCCGCGCCACCACGGAGGAGTTCCACAATGCCCGCGCCCTCACAACTTGATCACTCATCGGAAGAGAAATGCTCGCATCCAAATCCTGCAAAACAACAGGCTTTTGAAGCTTCTTCTGCAGCGAGTTCAGGTTCGCCCGCAGGGCTGTCGCCTCAGCGTTGAAGTCAGTCATGAACGCCTTGGGGTGAATTGTGCGCGGACGCAGATATAATCTGGCGAAAGAAAGCATTATTGCGCTGAAGCTTGTCCTTACTTTCACTATATAAGCTTTAATGTGTGCATTTCAAAAACCGACCCAGGAAAGAGAAGCATCCTATCTTTTTAACAAAAAAAAATGTAACCTTGATTTTTGGTGCTTATGGATTGCCGTTATTCATCTCTGTATTTGTGATCCGTTAGGCAAAACCACACCTCCCCTCGATACGCATGTGTGTATACGTGGGAATAAAATGAAAATGCAGTATATTGAATTATACAAAACGTTCCCCTTTTCCCCTTTGCTTACAAAGCGAATTTGCATACGTGCTCTACATCCACCCGCTAGCGAATGTTGGGATTTGACCGGAAACTCCTACTCCACCCACCTGTGGCCGAACCAGCACGTGATAGGCGGACATCCTCCATCCCATCACTCTCACGATCCAGCGCCTCGCGCAATTCTCGTGGGAGCACATCAAAGGTGAAATTATCCCACTCACTCTCTTTGCCGGTGCGAATATTTTCCTGCTTAGTCTCGGCTGCCATGCGGCGTCGCTGCATGCGACGTTTCCGTTCCTGGCCCTGCTGAATGACCTGTTGAAGTGTAAGGTCCGGCCGGAACTCCTTCTTCTCACGGCTCATGCGAGAAACAAGATAGTCTGCGCGATGGTGCCACTGTATGTAGGTTTCCTGCAGGAACTTCTGTGTCTTGTGCTGGTCTTCTGTGAGGAGCCAACAGAAGTCCCCTTTGGCGCGCTCGTCGACGCGCTTTTCGAGCTCTGGGCTCCACTTAAAGGGGGACTTACTCGTCCCACCCTTGGAATGATTTCGCAGGCCGCATCGGAGTCGCTCCTCATCGTTCATGTAACTAGCAAGGATTTCTGCCTGACGGGTGGGGGGCAACGTGAAATAAAGCTCCGTAAAAAACCAATCAACCCGAGGAATACATTTCAGCTCATCAGCGAGGGCCATGACCTTTCCCAAAAACACATACTGGGCTGCATGGTTCAGGAAATCAAAAAGCTTTCCGACACGCAATTCCTCACCTTCCGGAACGGTCGAGCTTGGAACGAGGAACCATCCAGCGGGAGCCTCCTTCCAGCAGGAGGGCGTCAACGCTACAATACTGTTTCGCCTACAATGAGATCCACGCAACATGGACACGCTATATATCGCAAGCAACCCTAGCCCTTTGCCTCCTATACTTCCCTAAAAGATGAAGAAACCCCGCTCATTAAGAGAAAAATGTGTCACAAGATCCATTTGCTAAACATCTTTAGAACACCCCCTATCAGAGGTTGGTTTGATAACTTTTCAAAGGGAAAGACCGAAAATGTGGAAGGACACAAGGACACGTGTCTCTTTCCCTTTAAAATGGGATAATGAGGAAAGTCAAGTTTTTATAGCTAACCACATCCTCCCTCCCACCCACAACGAGCGTGGCACTACTGCAACGCAACACAGCAAGGGCAAAGTCCTAGTGTCTCCATCACAAACACATGACATGTGTCGCACCGCACGCTGGAGCACGCCTCACACATCCAACCCTCGCCGCCTGACTGCCCCACAACTTCAGCGCACAGGTGGCATAAAATACTTCCTCTCACCCCCACTACTTTTCTCTCCATCCCCCCTTCCTTTGCCTCCTCCTCCTCCTCGTTGGAGGCCTTCTCATCAAGCACGACCGCCGTCTTCGAAGGCAGCGTCTCGACAGAGGACCCTGCTGCCTCTGACGAGAGGAGCTGCTGTTGTTCATGGAGCCGACGAAACGGTGGTACGAGATGGTTGTGGGCGACAAACGTGGAGAAGATCATCCCAACATTGCACAAAAGCAGCTTGCACAGGGAACAGGTGGATGGAATGGCGGTTTGAATAAAATGGCACTGTGGGCATGCTAGGTATGTGTCCGTACTGGGCGAAGAGGTGACACCTTTCAGAGGTCTTTCCAGCAGTATGGGGAACCCAATAGGCACCATCGCAGCTTGATCCCCTTCTTCGGCACCGTGGTGGTTGTTTCCCTGGGGGCTACTTTTCCGACTAGCCCTGCTTTTTTCACCGTACTCGGCAGCAGCGCCAACGCCGTTTTGCGCGAGACGCAAGGTATATCCTAGGCGCGGACAGTGCCCTCCATGATCGACATCCTCCTTGTACCCGCCGTTCACCGCAAGCTGATGCAAAATACGCAAAAGGTGATCAAACCGCAAGGGGCAGTACAGCTGCCCACCGGTTTGCCGCGCACACATGTCATACACGTGCACGGCACCGTGGAAGGTGATAACGTCGATCTGGATGTTAAATTTACGAAAGGTGTTAATGACGCGAAACACATCCGTCGGATCGATCAACGTTACGGATGCAGTTACCAGCAGCACGTGCAGCCGCACTGCCTGTGGCTGTCGCCTGCGAGAAGCCGACGACGACGCATCCGCACTAGACCGCTTCTCCACGAGCTTTTGTAAGTCCACAAGCTCGCTCAAAGTCATTCGTAGGCCGTTTTCCAGCGAGGTCGCTCCCGAACCCCCATATAGAAAGTAATCTCGCTCTAATTTTTCAACAATCTCGCTGGCATTCGCGGTGCAGGAACACAACCGGCGACTAATGCTATCGCGCATCACCACAGCACCAAGCGAGGCGAGCGGAGTTGAGTCTAGATATTCTGAGATGAACTGCATAACAGGCCGTCGAAGGGCTAACAAGTAGGAGGGAAGGTAATCCGAAGAGCTATTCATAGCCTCGCTCCCATCTAGAAGCAGAACTGTGCGTAACATGGGAATTCCTTTTTGAAAAGTTAAAAGGTGGAATAAATGAATGAGGAAAATTAAGAAAAGCATAAAAGGAAAAAGCATATAGAGAGAACGAAAAAAGAATCCGAGCAAAAGTTGGCTTAACACGAAAAGATGCCCGGCCCTACCTCGATGAGAGTCACTTTCGGTGTGGATACGGATATAAGCACATCTATCAACATGCTAATGGCAGCTTCCACTAGGAATTACCTCGAACTTTGTGCAGAAATGAGGAAGGAAAACATAGAACGAAAAAGGGTACCAGGAGCGAATCAAGAATCTAGATACACACTGTGGATCTTACTTTTCTTGCTATGGTTAACCCCTTGTCCTATCGTTAAAATCATAAGACGTTTTTTTTGTACTTGCTAGTCTGTCGCTACGTCTTTCTCTTTGCATGACAACAATCCTAAAAATACTCATACACAAAATGACTCTAATGGCGTTGTTCACCGCTTTTGTTGGCAACGAGCACATTTGCAGTCAAACCCACGCCTCTGAAGCTCAACTACCCGTTTGTCGTAGGGCAGCTCCTTCAAGTGTGGGTAGTAATTTATGCAGAGTTCTTCACCAGCCGTAACCTCATGCAGTGTGACCATGTCTCCCGTCTGCGCATCCTCGGCAACGTTGGCCTCACAGCTGTGGTTGAACATTGATCGCGGCAGATGCAATTCAACTGCATTCGGCATGTGAAAACAATTCGCCGAGACGCGCGCCAGTGTTCCCAACATCTCCTCATACGAAATCACCGTTGCAACATGCATCGCGCGGACAAGGCGCTCGTAGACATGAAGCATCGACTCACACAGAATTTGCGGGCTGAACGTGAGACGCCCTGAGAGAATTCGAACTTCAGCCTGCACACTCGGCACGATGCGCCGCTTCGCCGCAACCGCGAGCACGCGCAACATGAGTAGCTGCGCGGCAGCGGCGTTGCGGTCGGTCATGGTTCCACCCTGGGACGGGGCCTGCTGCATCTGACTAAAGAGGTCCAGCTCCAGGCTCTGGAAGCCCTCGTTCTCACAGACGTGGCTATGGTAGAGGGCTTTCGCCCGGGTTCTGCAGTCCCGGCTGCAGTACTCCTCGTGGCATTGGGGGTTCTCACACGCAAATAACCGCTCTGGCAGCGGCATCGCGCAGAAGGAACACAACCTCTCCTGGGTAGGATACCTTAGCCATGGGTCACTGGCCCGCATCACAACACCGTGACGCGGCAAGGATTCTTTTGCAACAATACCTCGCCCTACGTGACTATTGATGTGCTTGATATCGCATTTCTCGGAAAGGAAGGGCTTGACGAAAATATGAAGATGAGAGTCAGTGGATGGGTAGGTGCCCACCTGAACCTCTGGGAAGTGCTGCACCACCTGCAAACACTTGGCCTGGTAGTGGCCTGAGAGGTTGAGAACACTCCCTGCGATATTGTAATCTGCCAAAGCAAAGTATGGTTGTCCTAAAGCATAGTACGCGTTGGCCCGAAAAAGAAAGGCCTCGGGAACCGAAGCAGAGCCCATGGTGTTGATGACATGATGGCAGTGGTTCTTTAATGTGCGTGCGGCCGCCACGGTGGCGTCATGAGAGACTCTGGGCATACTGTTGTTGGTTTCTAGACTTTGATGTGGAAAACATAATGAGGGAAAAAGGCATCCGCATGCTACAATTCTGCTGCTTTACCACCCAAAATTCCTCAAGTGTCAAAGTGTTTCATAAGGCAAATTCGATCAACAACAGCATAAAAAAGTACTTTCAGCAGTCGTAACACGGTTTTATCTGTTTACAAAATGGTAAAGTGTGCAGGGAAAGACAACGCAGAAGCAGACACTACGAAGCGAGAGGGGGGAAGAAAGGAGGAGAGAGGAAACTCATTTTCCCCTGACCCTGATCCACAACGTTCGTGTTTTATATGCGCTCAAATGAATAATAAAAGAAAACGATAGAGATCAATCCCTTAGTTAAACTCAGGGATGGATGAAAAATAGAAAAATGGCCTATTCAATTACGCCATTCTACTACCACCATACGACATTCTCGGATTTGTGCTTCTGATACTCCTGCTCCAGCCACTTGCGTTCACGTAGCATAAGCGCCTCGTAGCGTCGCAGCTGACGATTTGTTGCATCCAATCGAGATATGTTCAGAGCCACAAGTCGCTGCAAGACCAATCCTACACCCAACCCCAACACACCTCCCAAAAAAACGCCAGACATCGCCAATCGAGCGGCCAATTTCACGTCATTAAGTACCCACCACGGCATAATCCCCACTGTCGAGCCTGAGAATGCCAAACCCACAACATAATTAAATGGCGAACGCTGCTCCGCATCATGCGCTGGGAGAAGGCGACGCTTCACACTCCTTGCCAGTCGATCCCCCACGCAAAAAGCAGCCGAAAGGATGCATGTGTTGCCGCCCCACTTGATAACACCCGCGAGAACCGACATGTTGAGTATTGACAGCACCCCAACCCCTGACGCCCTCAGAAACTCCAAGTCGACGTTGATCGTCTGGAATGCACGCAAAGACCCTTGCACGAGGCCGATCGCGATCCCGCACTTGGTGCTGAACCAAATCAACGAAGGCGATGAATCTAGAAACGGATCTAGGCCGTAGAAATCTATGCGAGGGCGGTACTCTTTCGCTACCTTGGCAAGGGGTTTGCCGGACCCCGCGGACTGCATCAGAGCTTTCCACGTACTCCCCGCGGGACGTCCCTCTTTCGGCCCTTCCACTATCACACCCCGCGGCGACGCTTCCTCTTCCTGGCGATACTGGGCCTCCACCCTCTCCTTCGAGTGAAGCTCATCCAATGGAACTGAATAACCTAGCTTTCGGCGGACCCATCTAATACTCGCTAAAATATCGTGCCGGGACTCCATCCGAGCCTGTTTCCGTGCCTCCTCAATCGCCTCGGCGATATCAAGCTCCTTGCGGTATTTCGTCCTCCAGTGATTCGGATTCGACTCGATGCTTTTTTCCGACACGGTGCTACCATCAATATTAGTATTTTTATTCTCGAGCCACTCCGGAGGACGTGTGTGCGCGTCCGGGCCGATGAACATCGTGGCGGAAACATCAGTTCGTTTGTATTCATCGAAGAAAAACTTGAAGATATCCTGAAGAATCCCAAACATATTGCCATGGGCAACAACCTCACCACCACCAGAGCTGTTATACGGAGTACTCCGTTCTTGGGGCCGAATCCCACGTAGAAAGGCGCTCGTATCAGGATACACAGGTTCATCATAACGACCGGAGGGGACTCTTATTTTCTCCTCCATCATGACGGCTTCAAAATTTCTTACCTCCTTCTTGTACTCTTTTTTTTTAGAATGCCTACAAACCGCCTCTTTCAGTTTCTTCAGAAGAAGCGCTAGAATAAACAAAGAAATCAGTAGTGTAACCACCAATCCAATAAATTCAGCACTCTAACCAACGCGTTACCTTTGTTAAGGAGCATTCTAACTTTTTATTGTTGACGTCACTTTCACAACACGCAAGTTAGCATACAATGTGAATAATGATATTCTGTCAAGCTCGAAGAGGTTGCTTTGTAAAGAGGAAGAGCACCAGTAGGGGAAGTGGGGCTCACAAAAAAGTCTTCAGGCTTACATATAGCCGCTTACTTCATGAAAGTGTCGCCTTTGCAATAATAAATAACTCATCGTATTTTGAACCCTCGTCTATAAGCAATCCAACTGTCTAAGAAGGATGACAAAAAGGCTGGTCTACAATGGGCGAAACTCAAGTCAGAATTAAATAATAAACACACAGATCCCCTGGCACATGCACATACTCACACAAGGGCCCTATCCAATTTTTCCCCCACAAAAAAAATTAAGAAAGGAAAGGAAAGGAACTAAAAAAAAATGATAATTCAGTGAAAACACTTGATATTGTGATGATACTGTTCATCATCCCACACCCTTGGCAACAAATATTGGCAACTTTTTCCAGTTCATTCTCCTCAACCACAGATAATAAGGGAGAAAATTAAGGGGAAAGGTAGAAGCCAACATGTCAATCAGGTGGGTTGAGTTTTTCAATATTCTTCATCAGCATTAGCATTTTGCAACAAATCACCCTCATTTTGACAGTATTCCCCCCTCATCCAACACCGAGCCACTTTTCTGAACTCACACGGATGATTCTTTAACATGAGTGCGGCAGCCTTGGCAACCCCCGGTAATGGATCGTCACACACAGGATAGGAAAACAAGAGCTCGATGCCGATCACCAAGTCCCTTATTGAGTACGATGGCCGCCACTCCAATTGCAATCCCAGGCACACACCCCAGTCTTCCTTGTCAGCTTCCCCTTCAATATTGGGATGAAAGATGCGGTTAGGACCGGTGTAGCGCACCTTGGGCCCTTCATACGGGTAGTCATCAGAGAACTTGAGAACGAAGTGGAATGTTCCTCCCTCCCAAATACCGCGGACCGGTTGAACAATAACACCGACAACGAACGGATCCGACGGGCTAGCGGTTACCTTGCTGGAGATGCCTTTTAGGCTGTCAAGGTCGGCACGGATACGAGACAAGGAGAAACTCATCGCGGCACCGATGAAGGCCGTGCCGGTGTTCGTACCTTTTCCTCCTTGCGTGCCGTCCTCAGATCGCTGCTCATTGCGCTCCCTGATTAACCGAGCTAAACTCATTTGGTAGAATGACGCAATCTGTGAACACGAGAAAATTAGAAGATAAAAGTCACAAACAACTCACAAGTTAGACTAAAAGCTAATAATGGGAGACTTGGTGGTCCTTTCTTCTCATATTTGCCGGTCACAACTTGGCCGAAAGATCAGACCAAACTGGAACAAAAAAAGGTTTTAATATACAATGCATTAAAAAACACTACTGTAAGTAAAAAAGACATGACCTTGCGAGTCAATTGCTTCCATCGTGAGCTTGGAATGGTCAAGTAGAAAGAAGAAGCTATTGGTTTTCCACAGTTTGAAAATAGAAGTACAAATGAGTCTCGATATATAAGCGGATAAGAGGAATAAATATGTGTGTACATATACATATACATACATATATATACATACAAATATATATGTATGCTTCGTGAAGTTATTACGACGCTTTGGTAGGATTGTCTAATGAAATCGCTCAACAACGCCCCCCCCCCCCCTCCAAAAAAAAAGGCACTATTCTTGTTTTAGCTATCAGCCTTGCATTTCACCTTAAGTAATGTAAAAAGGGAATGCCATAGAACAAAACAGAAAGAAATAATGGAACAAAAATCAGGCAGTAACAAAATTGGACAGTGCGAAGCTGTTGGACACTTAGCATAGCTGCACAAAACGTCGGTTAACTTTACTGCAAAACTTCACACTGCTACATGAATTGAGGCTCTTCCGCTTATATCGCGCACACACAAAGACCTTTTTTCTCAGGTATTAGTTCCCTTACTATGCAATCAATAAAAGAAGGGTCATGGACAATGACACCAGCCCCCACCTCTTGCTCCACCCGATCAAGGGTTTTTCTAATACTCCCATCAAATTCGCATTTCTATACAACCTATCATCGAAAACCCACCTGTTGTAGGACGGTGGTGGGGTCCGTGTAGAGGCTCGCCCCTGATGCTGTCCGAACGGGTGACCAGCAGCAGCGGCTGCTGATGCGTGTGGCGGCCAGCGGCGGCTGCAGAGGAGAGGGAGTCGTCTCCGCCCACCTCGCAGCGCCACCCACACGAAACCCACCCCGTTGCGAAGGAGACAACGTTGAGGAGAAGGTCGCGTTGGGCGTCGGCGCCGCGTCGGCCGCAGGGCCCGGCGAGAAGCAGCGCCAAAAGCGGATCGTCTCGTCTCCCGCCGCCGACGCGACCGTCTCACCGTCCGGGGAGAGGCACAAATGGAGCACCCGGGAGGTGTGCCCGGTGAGGTCCGCCACGTGTCTCAACGAGGGGTACTTCCAGATACTGAGCTGATTCTTGGAGAAGCCGTGGGAACTGACCAGCTCGGTCCCGGCGTGGTTCCACAGGACCCCGCAGACCTGGCTTTGGGTGTTAAGGTGGCGCACGCAGTCCCCTGTGAGGGTGTTCCAGAAGCGCAGCGTCTTGTCATCGGTGCCGCCGCCACTGGCAAGGAGGGAGGACTGGATCGGATGCCACGCGATCGCCTTGACGGCGGCTTTGTGCTGGTTGAGGTAGACCACCGGGAGCGCGTCGGGCGTCACCGTACCAGCCCCACCACGCCCGCCAAGTAGCCGGCGATCCCACACCAGCAGCTGGTTGTCATTGCTGCCACTGGCGAGGTAGACGCTACTGCGGTGGGGGGAACACCGCAGGCCGCAGATTTCTTGCGTGTGCGCCCGCAAAACGTGCATCGTCTCGGACGGATCCCGGAGGTCCTCCAGGCGGATGGTGGCGTCCTTGCTACCAGACGCGAGCACCTGGCCGTCGGTGGTCCAGCTCAAGGAGCCCACCCGTCGGGTGTGTTTATGCCAGTGCCGCACCACCTGCCTCGCCTCGACATCCCACGTGTCGACGCAGCCGTCGTTCGAGCCGACGGCGAGGTACTGCCCGTCGGGCGTCCAACTCACACTGCAGACCACCTTGCCCGCACCCGAAGGCATGGAGTCGGAGACCCGGAGGGAACTGCTGGTGGTGTGCGGCGGCAGTTGGGTTATCTTGCACGTGGTGGAATCCCAAAGATATACCGAGGACTGAAGCGCGACGGCGATCACCCCTCTCGTGGACCAGTCCATTAGATTCATGTAAAAGTCGTCAATCATATCCGCCGCGTCCAAGATACGCTCTGGGGTCTGCGAAATTACCCGAAAGTTCTTCGAGGTAAAGTTGAGGGTGCGGTTTGTCTCATACACGACGCCCAGGGATGCCGAAAAACGTTCCTCCTCACGAAAACACTTGGATTTGCCTGAGCGACCGGCGCCAGTACATTCTACTGCCGAGCCATCCGCCGTGCTAGAGCCGCCGGGAGCGTGGATGCCCAGCACCGACGCCTGCGGCGTATCGCTGAAGAGATTCCGCAGAAGACGAGTGGTGTACGGCTCCACCCCGCTCACCAACGCATCGGGATCCGCGTGTGCGGTGCTCGGCGAGGGTGCGTCGAACGCGGAATTCGACGCTGGAGGCGGGGGCGTCGTGAGCACGGCGGCGCTGCCGTGCTCCATGGGGTGGGCGTGTGAATCCAGATGCAAACGTGCAAAGGCATCGACGATGTTCGAAGATGCCAGGGGACTTCGAACCCGGGTGGGGCCCGCGCTGCCGCCGTGGATGGCGCCGTAGGGCGAGCCCCGAAGCGGTGATTCCTCCACGACTGAGCGATTGCTGCCCTGTGGATACGACCACGTGTTGGATGGAGGGGATGCCGACGTCGGCATGACGACCGCGGTCGACGTGTTCTCTCGCTGCGGAGTATGATACTGCGAGAGCGCAATGATAGGGCTCAAATTTTCCTTTGTGGTGAGAAGAAAGTGTGAGACTGAGTTATCCTGCGACTCTCTCACAGGAATATAGCGATCCGCAACCACTTGCCTTGGTGATGGCGAGTGCGGGCTCGCATCGTTTCCTAACCCAAAAGGACTTGAGACACCAGATGCAGGGGTGAAAGGATCCTTCATACGGGTCGGGCGCAACGGTGTATCGAAATCTGAGATCATTGCAGTACACTCCGCTCCGTATATCGATGTATCACCAACTATTATGTAATAAGCAATATTCCACTCTGTGTGTCCAACATACACACCAAAAAGGGTGAAACGAACCGATTACCCCTTTGGACAGAATTCAATAAATGATGTGTAAATATGACTCACGTTGTATAATAAGATCAATAAATAAACTGTTCTCGGGGGCTTAAAAACACACTTACAATGACTGTACACAGAAATAAAAAAAATCTAATTGAATGGCTGAAAAGCCGAAAACGGGTTATGACCCTCCTCTTTCTCGTCTGTCGCTGTTCCTCTTATGGTCTTATTAGTTCTTACCTTTGAATATGTGAAGAAGAGAAAGCGAAACCACAAAAGGTGAAGGAGAAAAGTCTCCTGTCTTCTTATTTTTTAGAAAAAGGGGGGATGCTTAAGAAAAAAGAAAAGACCTTTTCTGTGGCTATAGACACACTAAAGACACAATGAAAAATGAATTACAAAATAAACAAAAAGAGTAAATAGATAAGAAAGAGAGCATCACATTCTGCAATATACCCCCCAAAACGCAGAAAAAGTACACTTCTTTAATTATTATATAATCTCTCGCGCACGAATGTAAAATATTCGACATGCTATTCGTTTTTTATTAGTCACATGCATATGAGCTGAAGATGACTTCTGGGAAAAATAGGAGTAAGCATTCAACCAAACAAACAAGTCAATCAAGGACAAGAAGAAAATGATTTCCCTCTCATTATTCACCACAATTCAGGGGAATTTTTTGAGCAGAAATTACGACTACACAATAAAATGTATTTGAAAAATGAAAACCAATACTGAACAATATATATATATATATATATATATATATATATACT